AGGACAGGGCTTGGTACTGCCAACAGACATCCGCAATGTCACTCATTTCCTGCTCATGCTTCTCTCCCTCCCTCCCCTCCCTGCCCTCCCTCCCCTCCCCTCCCTCCCTCCCTCCCTCCCTCCCTCCCTCCCTCCCTATAGACCCACCACAACTGGCACTATGCTCTTCAACTCCCTCGAAGCCGAGCCACGTCTCTCTTGGTTGTGAAGTTGAGGCTTGGGCCCAGCCCGTTTGCCCAGTCTCCCAGTGCAGCCTTGGCTCATTTTGATTGGGTCATGGCGGGGGGTTTCCGCTGAAGTTTGTATCATCTACTTTCAACTTCAGGAGTTGCCACGCGAAGTGCTGGAAGAGGTGTTGGAGGCTTGGTCAGTGGGGTCCTTTTGGGTGTCATCCAGAGCGAGCGCGAAAGCAAATCGACACCCCGTCCCAATCGGTATCACAGATGGTTTGTTTGTGCATCAAAATACCTGCCTCTTGCCGTTCGGTCACTGTCAGCTTCATTTCAGGTTCGCCGGGCAGCCGCATTCCCCATGTTTCATGTGGTTTCCCTCGTAGGTGAGCTGGGCCAAAGGGGCCCTAGATGCCAGCGCTATGGCGCTGGAAGCGTTGGGGCCTTGGCAGGGTGGGTGTCGTCGGCCAGCTGTGAACCGAACGGCAGTCGAGAGATGGGCTGTTGAGAATCTCATGCTATCCAGCTGTGGTTCCAAGGGGCCCAGTATGCACTTGGTTGCAGCTGACGCCTTGCCGTGAAGTTTTTCCTCCCTAGGGCAGCGTTCGTTTTGTTCGGGCATCATTTTGATGAATGCCTGCAATGCAGCCTGTACGCTCTTCTTTTTTTTGACAAAGCCAACTCTGTTCCGACTCACTTAGAAAGACCCCAAACGATGGTAGAGCACACACCAGTGAAAGTGCGCTCCTCGCGAGGAGCATGCTCGCCAAAGATTGGCATCAGACATCGTTGGTTCATCGGGCTGGTGTTTCGATTCATGGCAAGGATGCCAGAGACTGAGCAAGTTGCTCACCTTGATTCTCTTGGACTCGCTGCCCTGCCTCGGCAATGAGGTTGGGTCAAACTCGCGAGGCCTGCAGCTTCGGGGGTGGATCTTTCCAAGCATCCCACTTTTGTTTTCTTTTTGGCTGGCAGTGCGCTTTGGGTATCTTTGATTTCTGTCCTCACTGCATTGGTCTGCGAACCTGCCAGCGCACCGAATTTCCCTAATCGCATTGCACGCCTGAAACATTCCTTGGCTGGAGGGATGCTAGGCCTCCGCCTTTTGCGAGGCGTTCGAGCTGCTGCTGCAGCTGAGTGTCTCAAGGGCAGTGCGGCTGGCAGAGGCGCGGACGGGGTTGACGCTCACGGCCCCGAGTTTTTTGTTTGTTTGTTTGGTCCCTTAAAGCATCCCGACAGAGAGTGGTTTAGGCAAATTTGAGCAAGCACCCGAGTTTCCTTCCGGCTTTCTTGGTCAATGGCATAGCATTTCATGATGGTCTTCTGCAGCCTGTAGATTTTGGCTGATAATCTGATATGCTGATGTGTTCTTTGGCTCTTGTACATTGTGAGCCCAGGGCCTTACTCCGTGCCTGTCAGATGCACTGTTTGCCTTGCCAAGTGGTTTGCCATGTGGTATCCTTTGAGCACAATTAGAGAGGTGGCCCCTTGACGGCCCCAGATGTTTGAACTCCAAGGCGGCTCACTCTTGGTCTGCCTCAGCTAGGCACCTTTCGAAATTGCGCCACCCTAGAGGTGTTGCCTTGCGGTTTTACTCCAAGGACAACCCTGGGAGCGGGGACGAAAGGATTCGCGGCTCGAAAGCTGTCTGGCTCAACGCCCAGATGTAGTGCCTGTCATGTGGCCTATTATCTACAGGGCAAGCAACACCTGACCATCCGACCGCCCAATCACCCGACAGCCCACCCGACCCACCTGACCCACCCAACCCACCTGACAGACCTACCTTACCCACCTGACTCACCTGACCCACTTTCAGGCTTTGCTGCCGTCTCCATGTGTTCGGGATAGCCCCCCGATTCGGCGCCATGCTTCGGAGCTGTTGGCCTTTACATGGTGGCTTCAGAGCCTTCAAACGCTTCTTGCATCATTTGCAGCTACCTCATCCTCAATCAGGAGCAGAGCTGGAGAGACGGGACTATGCACACTATGCGGCGCCCCCTTGCTTTTGTAGAGGGGACCTACCTAGCAACTAGTGGCTGACATGACAGGAGACAGGCCCACATTTTTTTTGCCCACAGGTCAGGAACAGAGCCATAGAAACAATCCAGATCCCCCAAGGAGTATTCTTCAGTCGCCCCCAGAGCCCATGCCAGGACCTGCACCTGAGCAGCGACGTGCTCCTGCTGGCGCTCGGTGCGGACTTCCAGCCGACAGAGCTGTGGCGCTCTGCTTGGGGCTCCTCGGAGATTTTGGAGAGGGTGGCAGGTGAGGCAGTGTGAAGCTTCCTGCAACAAGTCCCCCAACCACAACATATGTTCTCAAAGACGTCAACGATCTCTCTGCGCGCTCCGACCCGCCCGAATCCGGGCTGCAGCTGCCGGCCCCACTTTCCCCGCGCCTCGTGCAGCCCAGGCTGCGCGGCAGAGGCCTGGCATTTGCCCATCCGCGCCGTGAGCGCCGAGGGCGTGGCCTGCCGCAGCGCCAGCTGCGCGCGGCGGAAGGTGCTGGAGGCCCTGCTCCAAGAGGCCGAACTCGGAAGACTCGGAAGACGTGTCGGAGTCGGAGGGAAAACCGGAGATGAGCAAGGGAATGAGTAGGGAATGGGAGAGAGTGGTCAGCTGGGCATTCAGTTTGTTCAGGCGCTGGGAGCTCGGGGGTTGATGTGCTAGCGAGCCACGTTCGAACGGAGCAGAGTGAATGTGGAGTGAGTACCTTCTTTCTCCTTCCCAGTTTAGTGGGATCCGTTTTGAGATGGTTCTCATTTCAAGCAGCTTTCATAGGACGGCCTGGAGAGCCACCCGCCACTTTTTCCCGTTTCGCTCGCCCGCCTGAAATCCGTTTCCGTTGAGGACCCGGGCGGGTCACGGGGCGCCCGGGAGCTGAGCCTCCGGCACCAGCCGAAGCGGGTGGTGTTCCTCGCGCCGGAGGCGTTGCCCGCGGCGGGTGCGCAAGCCCCTCCCCGCGAGGCGCGATGCGCGAAGCGCGAAGCGGAACGCGGAACGCGCGACGTGTGGGTGGATCCAAAGGTCCGCGCGTGGGATGACCCTTTTTTGGGGAAGACCACCAAACAAGATTTGATATTCGTAAATGGGACAAGCTAGCCTTGGTCATTTGGGGGCCAGGAATATTGATCAACCCCCATGTGAACTGTAGGCGAATGGACATGTTTGAACAAATCTGGGATAGCTCGTTGATTGCCGGACTGTTTGAATCGATTCACCAAGAACTTGGCACATTGGGGAGCGAGTCAAGTCTTGCTGGCATGTCCGTAGAAGATTCCGAACACAGTAAATGACATTCACCAGCCCCAGTCAAGGGGTAGGCGCTGTACTGTACAGGCAATGTCACATTGAAAAGCAAACCTCGAGCCGCTTGCGGAGGATGGGCCACCTGTGGTTCTCTTCGAGAACTTCGAGACAGGCTCCATCAACGACGCCACCTTCTCTGTCCAGGTGTCCGAGTATGCCGCCGCCTTTCTGCGGGCTTGGGAAGACCATGAGACCAAAACGTACACGTCCCATGGCTCTGGCCTGGAGCTGTTCCTTTTGGAATGGCTCCATGGGGAGTTGGGCTTTCGCAATGCGCAGCTTCGCTGGGCCCACGCCCAGTTTCGGGCCGTCCACAGCCTGCCGACCTACGACCGCTACATCGCTGCGGCCAGGTTTTTGCTGGGGCGACGGCGCCAATTCGTGAATGTGACCCTGCAAAGGCGAGGGCACGGCCTTTGCAGCGACCTGGACGCCCCCGCCCAGGTCATGCAGCAGTTCTGCCAACTCCCATGGCCCAGCATGCGCTTCAATGACAGCTGTCTCCGGGATGTGCTGACGTGTCGCACGCCCATTTTTCGCTGCGTCACGAATCTGTCAGAAGCGGATTCAGCACGCACACATCAGCCGAAGCGCATGGGCCTGGGCATGGTAAATGACATCAAGGAGGGCTGGGCTCATGATGCAATGTTCGGTTTCCTTGTGCACCTCCCTCGCATGTTGTGGCCTGCAGGACTGCTGGCCCCATTGCTCCGACGTTCAGGCAAGCACCTGGGAGAAGATGAAGCTGGGCCTTCGCTTCAACGCGGAGTGTCAGGCGGCATAGAGCGACTGACAACAAAGTGGATGACATGGGTTGGGAACTGGGGGGTTCCTCACTCAATTCCCATGTTAAAGGGAGATGCAATGAATAATGACCATGGCTCAACCATCTCTAGCCGGCCGGCGATTCCTGTCTTGAGACAGCATCACCCGCAGAGCACTCGGTTTCCTCGTTCCTTTCCCTCGCAGGCCATGTGTCGGTCCGTCGGTCCGTCGGTCTGTGATCCGGTCCGCCAGGAGCGGCAATGCAGACTCGGCTGCTGCTGCAAGGACTTCGACCTGGTGAGAGAGAACGAAGCCGCCAAGATGGCTGATGACCTGCTGCTCGCCTATGATTGTTTTTTGGTGCGAACCACTCGCGGGTGCCAGTGACACCAGCATTGCAAGTGAATGGCCATACACCCTTTGCTAGCCAACCCTTTCCCAGGCATCACAGAGTGAAGCAGGGCCGTTTTGTTTGGCAGTTTTTTTCTTTTTTTTCTTCGGTTGGATGAGTTCTGTGAGGCTTCTGGGCATTTTGATGCTGTTGGTCCTGCTGCTGGCGTTCGGTGCGGGTGGGAGGCGGCTGGCCCAGCATGTGAGCCTGACACGGGCTAGGGTGCCCCGGCTTCCAAAGCAAATGTTTCGGTTTTGCACCCTTTCGTGGCAGGTGGAAAACCAGCTCCTTGGGAGAGGCTTCCAGTGAATGCGAATTGCAGCATTTGCCCACCGAGGCACGCCAGGCACGCGAGCCAATGATTGAGCTGGCAAGCATCCAGCGTGAGAGACACCAAGGTTCTGCTAATACTCCAGTGGCGCCTGAGTCGAATCGGTTTCTTAAAAATTGGCGCGTCGGCTTTTGCAGGACTTATGGGCATTTTGGGGGCTCCGTCCTCCTTCATTGGCAAGTTTATGATCATTCCCGGATCGCTACCGCCAAGGCCGCAACATCTCCTGGTCTTATTGGTTAATCTCCACTCAAAAGTGTGCACTATCAGAAACAGACTCTGCAGCAGCGGCACTGCCACCTCTGCCACAAAGCTACCAAGTTACCCAGTAGTGCCTGGTGGCAGCGATATCAAGCCATGCTCAATTTTGGCTGGCTACCCTAAAAGGTTGAAGATGGGGCGTCGGACTGCGGACACGCAGGCCAACGAGGAGCCGTGGGCCCAGAGAGACAAAGCCATGGCGGCGAGGCTGCCAGGCGTCGGAACAGCGGCTCCAAGTGGGCGAATCCGAAAACGCGTGTGAAGGAAGGGCTTGCGGCCTTTGCTTTAGGCATTTGGGAACTCCAGATCTGGAGCCCGCAGGCCCATGTGCAAGGACAGAGCTGATGGCCAAAGCCTGAGGCTGAGTCAGCAGCTGCTGAAGTTGGCACTGCAAGACGCTGGGGTGCCCGAGTCTCGCGAAGAGCCTGTGGCTCCCACCGGTTCCAACAAACATGCCTGTCAAAGGGTAACCACCAGGTTAAAGTGACAACAACTACGGTTCAAACAGGTTGGCTGAACCGTGTCAGTCCGGATTCCTCAGGCGCGATGTCTGTTGGCCATGCGCAAGCAGCACCCAACATTTTGCATCGTCCTCTGTTGCAATACACCTTTGTAATGCAACTTTGTCTTGTTTTAAAGGTAAGACAGCAGCTGCCTCAAGCTTTGGAGGCCAGCCGTAAGGCTGTAGCTGGCGTTTGCAAGTGAGCAGCTGGACACACATTTGGACAGATGCTTTCTCTCTTTTTTTTAAGTACTCCCATTGCAAAACCGACAGCTGCTTTTCGCTTTTTCCTTTCTCAGGTGCGCTAGGGACCTTTCCATTCCTTCGTCAGACAATGGGTGATTTTCAACTCCGGTCAAGAGAAGCTGAAAAGGGTGGTGCTTGTGCGCATTTGGTTTCATAAGGTGCTTTCCCACTTGCAGTCTAGCCTGCTTTGAGCTGTCCACAGTTTGACGAGTAGCGCCTATCTCATGATGCCGGCTGGTTTGCTTGAACAGCCGTCCCCTATGGTTGGTTTCCATTTGGTTCCCTCTATGCATACCAAGCACCTCCGCCATTTTCAGAAAAAAGACTCGACGATCCTTCGCCTTGAGCGAGGCGCATGTCTGTGGCTCTGTGCTGGAGCTGCACCTGCAAGGTGCGCCGCTGCCGTTCAAGGCACGCCGCATGTTGGTTGGCGCGTCGGGGGTGGGGGGGGGCAATAGGTTTGGCTGGGGGATGTGCTTCTTTTTTGGGCTGTGCGAGCAGCAATGTACCAGTCTGCCCGAGAAAAGTGGAAGAACCAGCCAGCAATCTGGCCAATTATGACTTGAATTGGGGAGGATTTGAGTACTGGTGCTGCTTGCAAGGCTGTTATGACATTTCGACCTGTTGACACATAGCATAGCACCTCATGTTCATTTGTATTGATATCAAGGTGGGCTCCCGGCGGTTTGGACCAAGCCAAGTTAGCCAAGATTTCCCGGATTTCCACGATCAGGGCGCTATGTCGGTGCAGTCCTTTGGTGCTCACTGGTCGGTTTGCGCCGGCCCAGAGGTCGCCAGAGGTCGCGGAAATCGGCACATCGATTCATATCGATTCGTTCAGCGCGGTATTCGCAAAATTTCATACGGACGGATCCGCCAGGGTTTCCCAGCAAGCAGATGTCAACGTGTCCAGACAGTTTTTGGTGTGCTCTGCAGCTGGCCACAGAGAGATCACTTACCCTCCCCCGGACAAACACGGAAGCTCCTGGAAGACTTGGTTCCATTTACAGAGGCCTTTTGGGAGCTTCCATGTTAGTCTGAGGGAGTGTATGCAACAGAGTTATTCAACAGAGATCACATACGCAATACTCTCAGTTTCTGAGACATACCAAGTATCTTCCAACGGAACCTGGTGCTGTGGCACAGATCAGCTTGGGCAGCCGTACCGGCAGCAAAACATTGCTGGTGCATGCCCACGGATATCCAGCGGATCATGCAGCTGTATGGCCGCCATTGGCACAGAAGCGCAGTGCAGAATCGGCCGCTGCTGCTTTGGTTCGGCTGGGTGCTTGTCGCAAGGCGATCCACGCCGGCTTGCCAGTCTGGGAGAGGACCCTCGGTCAGCCGCGCCGGGTCGCGTACGACCCCTGGGGCTGGTGGTGCCCTGAGGCAGGGCAGTTCGCTCTCGCGTATGAGAACGGAGTACCTGCGGCCTCGAGTATAGTAGACACAGATGATGGGAACAGCTGCCGCAGTATGTCAGACCGTACTTCCTTGCACCAGTCTCAGAACATGCCTGGCTTTGACTTGGAACGTGGGCTGTGGCTCCGGTGCTGCCGTCTTCCTTGAAACGTGTGGTTGAGGTATGCGACGGTCTTCTTGTGTTTGAAGGAACACGCGGCTCCTTCAAGCCTTGAAGAAAGTCAAAGCACTCGTGGGAACCTCGCTGCGGGTAGCATAGTTTGCAAAGGAGCAGGAACTAGTCAAAGCACCCAAGCATCTCGGTGGCTGGGGCTGTACCATACATGAGTTTTGCGCCTGCGTGTTCGATTCTCTCGCCATCGAAGCAGCTCATTCTGTTGGCTCTGAGGTCCTTTCATTGCTATTTTCGGGTGAGCCTAAGGTCAATGATGTCATCAAGAGGATCGTTGCAGGTCAGGAGCTGTTCCCTGTCACCGAGCCACGAGGCGGCTCTCACATGCCTGGCATGCAGCACCTTACGGAAGATGGCAGCTGGCACCAAAGCAAACATCGTGCATGCCCAAGATGCTACCATGTTTCTAGTGGCCGCTCCTAGCAAAACAGCTTCCATTTGACGTCCAACGGGATCAGGGGTTGTGACTCGCACCCCCCCCAGCTTACATGCCACGCCTTTTTCATCCACGGAGTTCAAAGATGTGAAAGTGGAAGCTGATGCGGTCATTCCAAATGGCAAAATTGTCTACGATGCCATGATGCTGACCAGGATTTACATTGCTGCTGGGAAGCTTGGGCACATGGACAGATGCTTGCAGTTAATCCAGAAGTTCTCTGCAAATTTGCTTATTGCAAACAGGCTCATGTCGCAGATCCGAGTGTGAAGCCGCGTGGTTTTACGGGCCCGTTGAGGAGAGCCTTTGCCGCGAAGAGGAAGATCCAACGGGCATTCCCTACGAGCTGGCTGTTGCTTGCAAAGTTGTCAGAGGCTGCCATGGATGCTTCGGACGATGCACACATTGCATGGTGCACGTGGCATCGAATGTTCGAACAATTGCAGCAGCTGACGACGTCCCCTGGCGCATGGAAGGAGTCCCGGAGCCCATGATGCAATACCACGTGACCTTCATGCGCAAAAGCCCAGCTTGATGCAACATTTGGTGCGCGAAAGTAGCTTCAGCCCATGCTTGGACGCGTGCAGAACGTTCTTGGCCGAGACTGCCTTCTTTGGTGGTGCCCTTGCTTGACTGTTGGCGTCGGGAGGCGCAAAGAGGCAATGGATGATGCCTCGCAATGGCTCACGTGGCACGATACGTGGCACGATACATGATTAACTTGGAAGGTCCGCAGTTTCACGGCTATTTGTGGGCCTGTAGCGGGGTATGTGTAAAGTGCAAGGCTTTGCGGTCTCACAGTTTCCATTGAGAACCAAGAGCCAATCGGTTTCCCATTTTCATGTTATAGCATGTTGGGGGGAGGGGCGGCTGACAGTCAGGCGCTCGTACTTTTTGTAGAGCCGCTTGTACCCTTTGTGTCACGCCTTTGCCCCCCACGCCTCATGCCGAGTGTGTCTGCATTTTGGTTTGCAACTTGTGTGATGAACAAGGAAGCACGTTTCCATTGCCGCCAGCTCTTGAATTGGCATTTCCTGAGGCAAAGGAGATCTTCCATCGGCTTCCTCCAGGTGGGTGTGTTGCATGAAAGGCATCAGGGCTAAGTCGGTCTAGGTGAGCGCCTTGCACTTCAACGTGGCACGTTTCAGGCAGAGAAAAGGAACGCTCGTTTGCAGAGAACCAGTTGCCAGGCTTCCAGGTGCCCGCCATGGGCGTGAAGGCGCTGGGCACCCTGCAGCTGGCAGAATCAGCCCCGGGGCCCAGCGCCGGGATGGCACCCCAGTCCGGAAGTGTGTCCTTCCCCCCGAAGAAAGTAAAACAGGACGGCATCAAGCCGAAAAGGTTCCACCTCAAGGGAGACCGTTGGCGAGGGGCTCAGCGTTTCGAGTTCAGGGCAAGGGTCCAAGTTCATGCGACGCTTCAAATTCAGCCCCAAATTTGGGGAGAGATGGCTGTGGGTTTGCAGCTGGTTAAAGCTCTCGTGTTGCGATTGCCAATGCCGTTTCTTTCGCGGTTCAAGGCGAGGATTGCTAGGCCTACCGTGGTTTTTACCTCAGTTTGCATCACAAATTCCGGCACAGAGCGGCGGGGACGCTCAGTCGGCTTGCACGCTTAGATGGTGGCCTTTACGCAGATGCCGGCGTTCGACTTCGAAGACGGCGAGAACATGAATCCAAATGCTGGTCGGCAGACGCCCATTTGCCACAGGAGACCTTTGCAACGCCTGAACTTCAACAGCATGGCGCTCTCGCCCACGAAGCGCAGAAAGCAGAGCCATGCGGAAGAGTCTCCTCAGAAGATGGCAAAGGAAGAGGGGCGGAAGTCTCCACGACGCGAAGATCACTCCAACTTCAACCTTGTTTTGTTGGAGGCACGGATTCAAGAGTTTATGGGGTCTCCTTGAGATCATTTTTGATCCACACATACAAATCCAGACATGACTCAGGGACGCTATGGAACTGACAGTTTGTCAACCACGGTATACAGCAAGGCAGATAGTGGTTTGGTTGGAACCGGGCTTGGAGAATGGTGCTTTCTTGTCACAACTATCAGAGGATCACTTTGTAGGTGTCTGTTGAGTCAGCTTTTTGCAAGCCTTCAGGTCTTCAGACGCATGAGCTCCTCCGACATCGTGTCGAAGGTGGCGCCGGTGTGCAAACAATGGCGGGAGGTGGCCCAGAGCCAGGAGCTCTGGGCCCTGGCGCGGCCCCACCTGCGGCTGGTGGATCAGATCCTCGGCGAATGGGGTTCGCGCGCGAAATCATGGGCCGGCCGCCGGCGGCGGGATTTGGGGGGTTGGCCTAACGCCGGGGATTTTGAGTTTTTATGAACCCCGCAAACAGCAAGAATGGGCCCGGCGAAGTTTCGGTTTGAAAAGGAATCTCGTAGGTTTGAGCGGAGTCTTGCCAACTTGACGGCTTGGATAGATTTTGAAGTCAATGGCAGTTGGTAGACCCAAAGGTTGTGCTTGGGTTTTATGCCTTGCGATCTCATTCACTGGCCGGGGGGCAACGAGTGAGGTTTGTAGTCCTGGAGAAGGTCGTCGAACGACGGTCCAAGGGCCGCATCTTCAAGTGCAAACGCCTCGGCTCCGGAGAGACGGTGCTGCTGCGCATGGCACCTCGGAAAGCAGCTCCCCAAAGGCGGCGATGGTAGATCCAGCGCGCCATGATCTTGGGAACCTCTGGACATGTTCTGAGATTTTTCCATCCAACCCCGATGTTGAAGTGCAGTGCGAGCGAATTGCAGTGATGCTGGAAGCGGCTGCTTGCGAAGACACCCAGTCGTCCAAGAAGATAGCGAGACTTAGGAACGGAGCTATCTAGCCAACATATGGGCATGCGCTCGTCTCAGAGAAGTTTTCTCCATACCAGGTGCAAGAGATGCAAGGCAATGACAAGAAACTGTAGCTTTCACGAGTTGTAAAGACGCGCAGTGAATACTGACCATGTGAATCGAAACGTGAAACAACTTACACAGCACATGTTGAAGAAGCCCCTGCTTCCCGCCCAGGGAACCAGAAGAGGGATGCCAGGTGTTCAGAAGCGCGAGATCAGCTGGCCCAATGATTGTGCACCGGTTTTGCCGGGAGCAGTAGTGTAGCAAGAGCGCCATGGGGCAAAGAAAAAGTACCCCTCAGATTGTGCAGGGCAGTTGCGGAAACCCGAGGTAGACTTGGAGCTGACCAACGCTGGCAGGGACGATGGCTTGCCGACCTCTTTCCTGCGGGAGGCCGCTTTGTTGTCGGAGCTGCGGCACCCCAACGCGACTCGGAAAAGGCGTTTGCCGCGCGATTTGTGGCCAGCAAAGAACTCATTTGGCCATGGGTCAAAATGCAAATCGTACCCCCAGTGAACATCCCAATCCCCACTAAAATAGACTGAAATGGGTGGTGCACCTACCCCAAAATGGTACCATTGGTTTTGACCCACAGCCATTGTTGTTTCTGGAGATTTGCTGGCGCAACCTGGTGCAGAAGAAACAAAATAGGGTTCACATGCCACTGGAGCATGCAGTGCCGTTGCACTCAGGTGATCAGACATTTTGGTGCGGAAATTTTGGACAAGCGCCGAGCCTGCGATGGAGGATGTTTGCTTTTGGGCTTTGTATTATTCTGAACCATGTCAATTATGGTTTCGCGCTCAAAAGCGATGGCCATGGCGGGCTGTGAGGGCGCAGTGGAAAGACTGCAGAGTACAATCACGCCTCTTTTTCAGGTACATGTGTATTTCAACAAGGCTAGCAGAGGGTGCGTTTTATATGGGCATCACGGTCAGTCTGTATTGAACGCAGGGCAATCCCAGCCTGTTTTCTGCTAAGGCGCGCGGTGATGGTCACTGAGTTCGTGCACGAGAACTGGAGCAATTGGTTTAAAAGGTCGGGCTCAGGGTTGGCAGCAAAGTGTTTCAGAGGGCAGCAAGACTGAATTCCCTCAACAGCAACACTCGAAAGCAACTCCCAGCACCTACAAAGGTTGAAGAGCACGGATCGGGAAAGGTGAGGAAAGTCCGTGGAATGTGACGATTGGCCTCACTTGGAGCTACGGCTGTTGTTTGCGCCGCTGGAATACATAGTTTGAGACACCCTGAGGTTAGAGTCCACCATGCGCTGCCAGCGTGTGGCTGACATGAGGGACAAGTTCAAGCAGATGCTCACAGGGCTCCAGTTCTTGCACTTCCAGGGTCTGATGCATCGGAACCTAAAGCCGGACAACCTGTTCATTGATCAGGCGCGTGGGGTGTGGAAAGGAGAAGGCATCGGCTAGGTGCACTTGTTCTCATGGGCCTTTTTAGCTTGCCCAGTACTGCAAGGAAGAGCCTTTTGTACAGCTGGTTGGCTTGCTTTATGAGACTGCTACCTGTCATTTGTAAACATGTTCCCACGCATGCAAGTTTGCAGACACCGACTGTTTACGACCACAACCACAAAAGGCCGCCCCTCTTCGGGAGGGAGGGGGGAGTGTGGCAGGCAGGATGTGTGAAGATCGGAGACTTCACTACCAGCCGGCTGCTGGACATTCCGTTTCAGGCGCGCTCCAATTGCCACCAGTAAATGGGGCCAACCAGATTCCCAAGTCAGTGTTGGAGTCAACATTGACCGTGGGTTTGGCAAAGCAGCCGGAGAACTGCAAGCTGACTCCGCTGTTGAGCCCTCTCTTTCTGAAAGAAATACTTGTGCTTCATATCACGTATTTCCCATATAGCAGGCATGCGGTCCAGGCAGAATGCTGCACTCTGGGGTTGGCAAGCCACTCTGGACAGAGACGCACGCAGCAGCACCACCCGAATCGCGAGGCCTACACCCCGGAGGACCCCAAGGAGAGGGACCGCTCCGGCCGGGAGATGCGGCGCCTGTGGTACCGATCCCCCGAGATGATCTTGCGGGAGGAGATCTACGGGCCCAAGGCCGGGGAGAAGCACACGGTGACACGGGCCCTCACCAAGTTACCGCTCGAAATTGGAGATGCTTTCCCAGAAGCAAGTGGGGGACTGTTGCAGTGAATCTAGTACTAGTCGTATGCATGATGCCGTAACCCCCCCCCCCCAATTTCAATGTTGGAATGTCCAGCAGCTCGTAGGGGAAGGCCAAGCCGAGGGCGCAGGCCTTCCCCGCACCAGCGCCCCTCTCGTTCCGGCGGCGCGTGCTGTAGCTGAACTGCACTTCTCCGGCTTCTGCTGGGCGCGCCTGTGCGGTCACTTTGTGTTGTCGAAGCCATTCCACAAAGGCAATCCGGTTGCCGTCCGTGCCCGCTGTTTGCGCGTGCTAGGCAGCAGGGACAAGCGAACAAAACAATTCAAACCCCAATGACACAAAGGCGCTCGCATTTCAATATCTGGGGTGCGGGGCGCGCGCAGGATTCCTTCGGTGAAGGGTTTACGTATTTTGTCCATTTGTTGCTTGCATGCCGCTTCAAAAAGTGTCACTGCTGCCGCCGCCGCTGCTGCTACTACTGTGGGCGGTGGTTGTGGTGGTGATTTTGGTAGTAGTTGTGTTTTTGTTGTTTGCTGTCGCCATCGTCGTGGTTTTCATTGTCGTCGTTGTCGTGGTTGTCGTGGTTGTCGTGGTGGTCGTGATGGTCTTGGTGGTTGACGTCCTCATCGTGACCGTCGTTGTCGTGTTGGTCGTCGTAATCGCCATGGTTGTCAGTAACTTGTCGTCGTCGTTGCTGTCGTTGTTGTGTGTTCAGCTTCAGAGCGTTTGGGTCTTCCGAAGCATACCTCAGGTGGACACCTGGTCTGTGGGCGCGCTCTTCATTGAGGCTGGTTTTGGTTGGGCTCACCCAAAATGCCCACACAGCAAATAGATTGAATGCACGCCACGCCGATGCAAGTCTGCAAGTTATGTCCAATAGAGCCGGGAGATGGCTCCCTTCATCTTGGCCGCATTTTCCCTTCATGCCAGGCTTCCACTGGCAAGGCCATCTTCCAGTCAGATTCCGAGATCGACCACCTCTTCAAGGTCTTCCGGGTGGTGGGGACGCCCGACCTCTTGTCCTGGCCGGAGGTGGTGACCTTCAAGAACTTCAGTCCCAAGTTCCCGGTCTATCAGCGCTTCGACCTGGCCCAGGTGACCCGGGCCTGCCTAAACAGCGAGGAGGACCAGAGGGCCCTGCACCTATGACTTCATGGACGCCTTTTCTCTTTTTTTGCGAGGTGGGTGCAACGGTTTGGGGGCAGCTGCGGGCTTGGGGCTTCCAGCCGAGCTTTTTGTCTTGGGGCCGACTGTAAGGATGCAGCAGGCCCAGACCGACAGAAAAGACATCCTCCAGCACCTGATTCAAGCCGCCAGTTGTGTGGGCCAGGAGGGCATGATGCTGGTTGACCGCTTGGTGCCTTGCCTGACAGGTACGGGTATGGAGGTGCACGGGAACGCCCGTTTCTTTCAGTTTCATTGCCTCCGCCGCACTTTTCCCGTGCCATTTGTACAATGTTGCCTTTGCATACTCTGTGCGGCATCAGCAGACTACTGAGTGCAACAGCTTTCTTGGATCCACCCTCGCCTTGACCTCCAAAGCACAGTGTCCCTTGTGCCCCCCAGCCGGAAGTAACCCAAGGTGACGGTGCCGCCTTTGGCGCGCGCCAACTGTGAGGAGGCGCTCAATGCGCCCTTCTTCACGGGCCGCACCGCGGGGGTGGAGCATTGGCTCCAGAGAGGCGGAGCTTTGGAAAAAGGGATGCCGAACTAGGGGAGACGGCTGAATAATTACGGGGTTTCGGTCTGGGGAGTCTGGAGAATGTGCGGTTTTCGCGGAATTGCTGTTCGCAAACCTTCGAACAGCTGCCGTCGGTTCTACCATCATGGCCAGGCCGGCAACGGGGTGAGTCGCCTGAGCCTCGCACCCGCGCAGTTCATATGGACGAGACCCCGCCGGCGGTGCAGCGATCCGCCGTGGAAGTCCCCCCGATGTCCATCCCCGCCAACCTTGTGCCTCCGCAGATGGTGTGGAACATGCTGAATGTGATGACGCAGCAGGAGAAGAGAGCCCAAGGCTCCATTAGCCTCCCACCAGGCTTTGACGGCTACACGCGGGCCGCCCATGTGGATTTTGTCGTGCAGATGGCAACCGCGCTCAGCCTCCGAGACAATACGGCTCACTTGGCTTGCGCGGTGCTTGACAAGGTCCTGTCGCAGCAAGACAGGCCTGTCCCAGAGGAGCAGCTCAAGGTGGTTGCAGCCACATGTCTGAAGGTCTCAGACGTCTTTGCAGAGCAGAGCAAGGAGTACTACAAGCAGGAAAATTCCGTGGAGTACGCCGAGGCTGCTGCTGGTCACTCAATTACTCCCTTGCAAATCCTTAGCTGTGAGAAGGAGATGCTGCCGAAGATTGACTTCAAGCTTCAGCAGCCCACAATTTGTTGGTTTATGCAGTGCTACCTCGCTTACGCAAGGCTTTCCATGCGGGATGCTGTGGGGAAAACGGCGTCCTTCATTGCGGACTTGATGTTGCTTGACTTCGATCTGCTGCTGTACGCGCCATCCTTGAAAGCACAGTGCGCTGTGTTGATGGCTGCGTTCTTGGTGCAGCATGAAGCCAAGCCTCGTCAGCCGCTGGATGAGAAAGAGCCCAACGCTACGACAGAGAGATGTTCCAAGCTGGGAGCCTTGCAAGGGGATATTTTATGCTTAGAGTATTGGGACAGCCATGTCCGAAACTCTGTTTGCAGGGGCAACTTGGCCGTGGATGCATCCATGTGCCTGCAGGCAGTAGTCCGGACGCTGGGGGATCGGAGGCGAGAATGGAAGGCTTTGAAGCTGAATGCGGTGGAGAACAAGCACGTGCAGCGTGCCAGAGCCCTGGCATACCCAGACAGCTTTCCCGTGTCCAAGCTGGTGCGCTACATCGTCCCGGACAACCAGCGAGCTTTGATCCCATGAGCCATGGCGCCAGGCGCCGACGGCTAATTCGGAGGTGCAAGCTTGCAAAAGCTCCTGCCCCAAGGCAGCATGTCCAAAATGTGGCGAGTGTCTGGAGCATGAGGGCGCTTAGCAGATCTCCACCGTTTTCACAACATCAGATTCGGGTCGACCTTTGTTCCGCGCACGCCAAGGAGCGGGACTTCCACCAGTTGGAGTTCCAGAGGCTTGCGGGGTCGGGTGGGTAGGTTGGTGGGTGGGAGGGGCTATTCAGGATGTGAGAAGGCGACGTTCCTGTTTTGGAATCTCTTTTGCACCATCGGGCTTGCGGTGCGTGAATCCTCTCGCTCTGTTCTGCGGTCAATTCCTGTCTTCTCTGCTCTTTCTCTTTGTTATGTAATACTTGTCTCCTGAGGTTGACCATGGAAAGCATTGACTGCTTAAACCTGCATGACAGAAATCCAGCGCACACCACCAGGGCATTGCATGCAAGGACATGTCATTCCAGCGCTAGGAGCGTTCGCACACCAGTTTCATGAGCCGAAGCAGTCGCAAACAGGACCCAGGACCCGATTCTCAGTAGTTACTAGATTGCACCGCCGTTGATTTGTAGAAGGGAACCTGCACCAGCACCCAAATGTGTCATAGACCTGCCAGGGTGGATTGCCCTGCCACCAACCTCCAAAGGTCACAAAAGAAGGTTGACAACTCAAACAAACTGAGATCGGGTCTAAGTCACAACTTCGTGCAACCAGTAGTTGAAATTAACACTGCGCAATCCACGAGACTCCGCGGACTGTTGGAGGGATTCCCGTTCAAAGCCTTGCAGACTTAGGTTCAATTCGGGCTCCTTTGATCTTTCCCCAGCATTGTTCCCCATCTTTGTTTCCTGACTTGGGTTGATGGGTGTTGATGGGTGTTGATGATTGTTGTTGTGTGTTGTTTGTTTGTTTGTTTGTTTGTTTGTTTGTTTGTTTGTTTGTTTGTTTGTTTTGTTTGTTTTGTTTTGTTTTGTTTGTTTGTTTGTTTGTTTGTTTGTTTGTTTGTTTGTTTGTTTGTTTGTTTGTTTGTTTGCTTCTTTGTTGGTTGCTTGTTGCTGGTTGTCGTCGCCTTTTTGGCGACACATGGCAGGCTCCAGCGGCAGGTGGGGGAGCTGAGCTCCGCGCTTGGTCGCCGCCAGCGCCGGGGCAGGGCCTTTGCCGGGGAGGCGGGGGGTTCGACAACTTATGGCCCGAGGTATGGGATCAAAATTCGTCAGCAGGATATGGCCGTGGGTGAACACCAATGGTACCATTTGGGGGTAGGAGCACCACCCATTTTAGAACCTATTTTAGTGGGGATTGTGATGTTCACTGGGGATACAAAATCTTGACCCATAGCCATATGGGCCGCAGGTTAAAATCGCCCATGTTTTTTTTTCTCGCCCATTTCCCAGAGATCCATTGTGGGGTTTCCCAATTTTTGACTAGCCACGTGTCCAAAGTGCTCTTGGACCTTGTTAGGTCGATATAAGACTGGATACATGGAGGGACTTGCCGGTAAATTGTGTGTCAGATCCCCCACTGCAAACTACGATGATCGCTGGACCAGATTAGATGTTGAGATCTCGTGCTGCCAGCTCCGTCAGGCAACAGGCAGCGACAGTCAAAAAGCGGCCTCTTCGGGATGGTGGGAGGAAGCGGAAAGCTACTGCAAGGGGTCAATTTTGTCATGTGTCTGATAATTGGTGTCTCATTTTGTCACTGAATTTGGTGTCTGATAAATTGCCGAAGCATTTGCCTGAGGAAACCGAGGTGAGGCGTAAGGTGTAGTCAACGAAAACGGACCGCCTGGCCTTCAAGCCTCGGCTCGACTTGGCCCGGGTGCGTGTGGCATGGCTGCAGAGGACCTGACAGATGCCGTGTTCCGCAGATTTGGATCTACGTGCGCTTTTTTGCAGTCAGCCTGCACACATTATGTTGACGACTGCTTAGACCACCCTTTGCGATGCTGGTGTCAAGATACAGTACAGCACGAAACATTGCATGCATGTAACATAGATAATTTGTATTTGGCAGGTTAGAGCCCTCCTCATCCCCCATGACTGCGGCAGGCTTCTGTGGCAAAGAATGTCTGCTGGGTGAGGTTGGAATCTAAATGCTGGTTGAAGCGCTTGCAAGTATGGGATGCCCCCCTTAAGCATTGCAGGTATGTTGCCATGAGTGCATGGGCAAGTTGCCTTGAATCTAGAAAGAACTGGAGATTGAGCACTTCAATTAAAATAGTCACGAAGAAGAGTGCCTTGCTTCCTCACTGCCTTCCCTTCTCACACGACATGAAACCACTGAAGTCCATTTGTGCTTGTTGGTGGCCAGAATGATGCCCAAAACGCTGTACCATCAGCACTGCCTCGAACCCAAATAAGCAACCTATTCTTTCAAGACTCATCTCTGGAGGAGCAAGGCGAGCTGAGCTTGTCCAGCCCTCGGATAGATCAGAGGTGCTGCGTAGGGGCAAGCATCGAATCACAAGGAAGCATGGGGCGAAACTGAAACTGCCTGAATCAACAATTGATTTTGGGCATCAATTAGACACTCAGAGGTTGAACGACCTACTCGAAGTCGGATCAGAAGCTGAGCATGGGGATGTTCGGGATGGTCAGGAAGGGTGATGATGTGTCAGGATTCTGGGGGTCTCTGATAGTGTTGCTGCTGAGATGCTGCGCAACACAAGCAAGCATTGCATCGGCATCAGACGGTCGAGGCACAGAGCAGAAACTGGTTCGGATGGATTACAAGCGGAAACAGAACCTAAACTGCTAATAGTCAGGAAGATGAGGATGGTCTGGACGTTTGGGGCGGTCGGGACGGTCGGGATGGCTGCTGGGAATGTTTGGACGGTAGGGACGGCCAAGACGATCTCGGTTGCAATGCTCATAAGTTTGTTTGGATGAATGGAACGGGTTGCGGCATAATTTGACTTGATTCCGTGAACCAGGAAGTGATTGCTGCCCGTTTAGGGTTGGTTTGTGCCTGGTTTGGAGAACTTGCTTTAGGCTTTCTCAGATTGTGTAGAGGCTTGACCGATGAGTTGTATATGAGGGTTGTCCAATGCAAGTTTGTTTGGGATGGCGGTTTCAAGTCAGTGTCGTTTGGGATGGTTGAGATGGTTGATTTGATCAGCGTCGGCGGGGATGGTAGGCCTGGCTCGATGCCGATATCCCGTGTGTTTGTTGGTGGGGGATTGGTGGGGGAAGGTCAGGTCCGGACGGTCCGGATAGTCGATATGATCCATCTGGTTGGGATGCCATGATGGGCCTAGTCCGGACCATTTGTTGAGGACTCCTTTGGTTTCCGATTCGAGCTATTTGTTTTCTTCTTTTTGGCTGCTTTTTGTTTCTGATTTACACTTTCTTATTCGAAGGCTTCCGATTCGATCCTCAGGGTTTCTGACGCAAGCCTTTTGCGCATGTGGCATGGTCGCCCGCGTGTCTCTTTTTGTTGGCAAGCTGTTCCGAGGACATTCTTCTGCAAGGCAAATGCGCCTCTGAAGCTGTCCTTCCCAGCCACCCTTACAGGGGAGGACGGGGCAGGGGGGTGCCTATGATTCAGGGCAGCTTCCACATGCGAGTTCTAGTTGAGCTCCTCTTTGTATCAGTCTCATTGCCCCAGCTTGCTTTCGTTCGCAGAATCAATTGAGTTCTCTCTTGTGGTCAACAATGGAAGAAGGCAGTCACTCTCCTGCGACATACTCTCTCCTGCCAAATGAGGGGTTGTGCAAGCTGGGTCTCAAACCCGCAAAGGCAGGGCGTGAGTAGCATCACGTCGTGCTCCAGTATTGCAGTGAGCGAATCCATCTCCAGTGCTTTCGCTCTCAAGTGGAAGGAATGGTCGACCCCTGGTGAGAGTCCGCTGCTGCTGCTTGGGAGCCCAATGCGCGATTTGGGAGATACAACTCGGTCGCGAAGCCTAGTTGTTTTCGTGTGTCCTTTGGTCTTGGCAAGCGCAATGATCTGCATATTGTGCATGTCCATTTGTATTAACATACACATGCATTCGTAGTGTATTTACTTATATACACGCAGCGCAGCCTTGTGGTTGCGTTTTGATGCATTCTTCCAACTTGTCAGGTTCATGATGCCAATACAGTTCGGAGCTAGGTTCTACTCATTCACTTAGCAACCAAGTAGCCTTCCCGACTAAAACCAGCCAGCTAAGCAAAGAAGCGTAAGTCGCACCGAGTTGCTTCGATGAGGTGTATTTTAGGGTAGACCAACTACGTGTATGGGTCAACATTCGTCACCAGGATATGGAACGCAGGATTTTATCCATGTTTCAATGTCAACATTCGTCACCAGTATTCCACTTACCAGGGTCCCTTTAAAACGACCATGTCTTCCACACCCCCCCCCCAAAACGTCAGGAGGCGAAGTGGCTGCGCGCCGAGTTACGTGCGGTTTCAGGAGCTCAAGGAGCGGCTCCGGGAGCCGCTGCAGCTGGGCGGTGAGGCCTTGGCGCTGAGCTTCCAGAATGGGCGGGGGGCCCTGGGGTTGCGGCCGGTTTCGGGTTTCGGGTTCCGTCTTTGGGTGCAGAGCGGGATTCGTGGGTTGGTAGGGAGAGGGAGAAAAGGAGGGAAGATTGCAGGGTTCTGGTTTCGGGGGGGGGAGGGGGGAGCAGACTCGGAAAGTGGGCTTGGGGAGACGCTGTCAGGCCTTGGGTGTGAAGAGACCGATGCTGAGATTGGTCGTCCCAGGTCCAGGAACTCTGTGAAGAAGGTCCTGGAAGAGAAGCAAAGCCTTGCAGAGCAGGGGGTCGAGGCGGTCGAGATGGATGGGTTCAAGAGGGTTCCATGAGATGAGTTTTTCGGATGGTCATCAATCCAGCAAGCAAAGAACCAGGGACTGGGAAGGCACAGGGAGGAAAGACTTGGGACTTGGGCGAGAACTGACCAACCAGAACAGCGATCTATCCCCACTATTGGTCCCAAATCGGGACAAATTACATGCACATGTACAGCAGTCATGAGGGTTCTGACCATGGGCCTGCGTCACTTCAGACCGTCGTGACACGTTGGGGTGCATTGGAGATGTTTGGAAGTCCTTTTGGGTGGCCCCCGGTGCAGGATGGAGCCTCTGTCACCGTCAAGGTGGATGCGTTTGAGGACTGGCGAAGGGGAACTTGTTCCTCTTAAAAAAACAAAAACAACAACAACAATAAACTTTGAGCTTGGCCAGTGTAGTTGGCTTGGCGTGGCTGCTTGTTTGACTGTTTGCCACTCTTGCCCCTTTTCTACTCCTGCAATGAAAGCCCTGCTTCAATCTTGCGTAGACGATCCATTCGCAGCATGCCCGCGATGACCCCCAAAAAATCGCCCCTCCGCGGCCATCCGCCACGTGACATGCGGTCCGCTTCGGCTTTCACCAGGTCCGCCCGGAGAACTCCTTCCTGCGGGAGTCCATCAAAAACAACGGCGGCAACAGCCGCGGCCCTGAAGGGTTCGAGCGATCGCCCGCACAGTGGAGTTCTGCAGGACAAAGGTGAGAGATTCCGGGGATTACGGGACATGCAGCTTTCATGATGGATGGCCTAGCAACCGGGCATCGAGGGCACTTTGTGACAGAGCTTCAGCCTTTCTGGTTCCATGTTTGCCGCATCGATGGGACCTGCATGTTTGCTGGGGGAGCCTAGGCTACTACTACGCGCATGCCAACGAGAAGGAGAACCAACTTATGGGAAGGCAATGTCAGGGAAGTCTAGCTTTGCTTGCCCAACTGCACCAGACCTGGTTCCAGCACTGTGTTGCTGTGCTTTGGGCTGGGCTGCGCCCGTGTCGCAGCATTAGGAGCTTCCTCCAGAGGTGCGTTACGTCTATGGCGGCGAGCCCATCAAGCTAGAATGCAACCAGCCAGGCAAGGAGTGTCATGCACGAGCATTGCGGGTGTGAGCTTGGACAGCTGCATATCCAGCGGCTCAGATATCAGGACAGGGGGCTTTTGATACGTGTGTCAGGTCAAGGAGACCTGGTGATTCGGGAAGCGTTGCTGTGTTGTGGTAGTGGATGCGGGATGATCGTTAAAGCAATAAAGCGGCAACATGAATGAGCTAGGATTTGTGGCTTCAGTCAAAGTCTGGAGTGGCTCGATGGCGAATATGGGGGTGTCTTGTTTTAGGGGACCCCCCAAAATGGGTGGTTGGTCTTTTGGTTTCCTGTACCAACCAACCAAAAAGGGGGTACCCCAAAATGCTCGTCGATGATTTGGCCGCTGCCTGTTCAGCCGCTAGCTTGCTCGACGTCTCATCGCCTCGCGGATTGCCAGGGGCACCCCTCAAGGCTGGAAATCGCTGGGTCGGCAATGGGGGCAGTGCGACTTCTCAGGATGCATTGTCAGTCCCGTTGCAAGCACGCGCTTTTGATGCCTAGGCGCCTAAGGATCGAGGGGCGTGCGTTTTTCTTCAACTAGGACCGCGGTTTGGATGTGACCTTTGAGAGCTGAGCATCAAGCTGGTACCTTCTCAGCAAGGCAGAGATGAAGCAATTCTCTTGAAGGTGCGGATGAAAACTATACAAAGGATGTCCGTACTTGAGCGCGAGAAGCGGCAACAAGCTGCTGTGACATCATCAGGGCGGTGCCTGAGCATTTGGAGCACGAAGGCAGAAATTTGCCAAGTGCCTCACATGTGGCGAACTTCAATGCCAGCTTATTCCTGCACTCTCCCGGTCAATCTTACTTTCCCCCGTCCAATCATTTGCGACCAGCAGGGCAAAACAACCGAGCTATGACCGTTTTGATCCTCTGCGGTTCGCAGGTCCTGATCTTACCAGGGTTTGCAGGAATTCAGTGGACTCTTGTCATTTTGCCAACAACGATTGACGAAGCGTGCAGCCCGGGCGCAGGCTTCCGTGGCTAAAGCTTTGACACACTACTCCTGGGCTGACGAGGTGCCTGGAACGTGCACCGGTCGATGCAATCAATTAGAGGAGCCGCGGGTTGCGACAAACTGGTTCCAGCTTGTATCATATGACAGGAATGTGTGCGTCAATCTTGAGCCCATGTCTTAGAATCTGTTTGAACCCATTTAGGGGTCGCCGACTTGCTGTAGACGCGCGGTTTGTGGCCTTGCCTTAGCCAAGTGAACGCGAAAAAGCGAAAAGTGGGAGAAGTTGCAAAGTAAGAAAAGTAAGAAAGTGAGAAAAGTAAGACAAGTCGAGAAGTGCTGCCGAAAAGTAGGAAAAGTGGACAAGTTGAAAAGTCAAGTCGAAAAGTGTGAAACGTGGAAAAGTCGAAAAGTGGAAAAGTGGGAAAAGGCGAAAAGTCAAGCGGGAACAGTCGAACAGTGGGAAAGTTGAAATGTAAAATCGAAGAGTCGAAAAGTGGAGAAAGTCGAAAAGTCAAAAAGTGGGACAAGTCGAAGCGTCGAAAAGTGGGAAAAGTCGAAAGTAAAAACAGTGGGAAACATCGCAAAGTCAAAAAGTGATAAAGTCGAAAAGTGGAAGCGTCGAACAATCACAGAGGCAAAACGCCAAACTTGTTTTGTATGTTTCTACTTTTCTTACTTTTTCTCCCTTTGCCGCATTCTCATTTTTTGCACTTTTCTACTTTTCCAACTGTTGAATTTCCCACCTTTCTCACGTTGCCACTTCTCATTTTCTGACTTGTCTACTTTTCTCACTTTGTATATTTCACACTTTTCTCACTTTTTTTCTTCACACTTTTCACTTTTCTACTTTCCTGCGTTTCTACTTTCCTCACTTTTGCTACTTGCCTCCGGTTAGACCGGGACGCGTTTGTTTACTCTCCTTAGGCTCGCCTAAGGACCTAATAGGTCCTTAGGCGACTTATGGGGCCGAATGGTTGCGGTTGTGGTTGCGCTTGTTCTTGTGCTTATGGTCAGGGTCGTGCTCGCAGTCGTTGTGGTGGTGGTCTTGGTCGTGATCGTTGTCATCGTGGTTGTGGTCGTTGTGGTTGTGGTCGTAGTTGTGATCGTACTTGTGGTCGTGGTTGTGGTCGTGATTGTGGCATCCTGGCCAAAGATGACGATGGCCCAATGGCTAGATAGCAAGCTGAAGAGTGAGGGCGAAAACTTCAGCGAACGAGAATTGGAAGGATAGACAAAGCTCACCGCCACAGCAAGCATTTGAAGAAAAGATGCACGAAATAAATATGAGTGCAACGGCTTCGTTTTGACGACTCCATGCAGTAAGGCTTGCTTGGAGCTCCCAACTTTGCGCATCAAAGCTGAAAGCCGGACTTTGCAAGTTGAAGAAGTTACAGACTCACAGAGAAATCATTGCCTGCGTTCATCTGAAGTTTCTGGTACTGCTGCCGCTGCTGCCGCCGCCGCCGCTGCAGCAGCAGCAGCAGCAGCAGCAGCAGCAGCAGCTGCTGCTGCTGCTGCTGCTGCTGCTGTTTTTGTCTTTGGCAATTGAAAGGCACAACTTGTCACAGGAACCGAGCATGTTAAACTTGTGGATATCCTACGCTTAAGTGCAACTGCCAAAGTCCATGACTGGCCAAAAAACATTTAGTGCAGCGATCCCAGTTGAAGCTACGGACATCTCACACATCACGTGTCTCATGGGCACCTCGAAATCGCAACTCGTGATCCGACATATGTCGTGTGAAAAATGTCATGCGTTGACATGCGCCGCATGACAGGGAGGTGCACTTGAGTGGGGCATTGCAACACCAGCGCAGGCTGGTACATTGTTACATGGGCAAGAAACAGACTGCGGGAGGCGTGCCACCTTGGCGAACGGTTGGTGACATGCAAGCAACGCAAAAACACTTGTCCAATGCCAAAGAGCAAGGAGTAAACAGTGTCTTTGCCGGCTCAAACCATGTGTCGATGCACATGCAAACTAATTTCGGGAACTGTGCAAATCATCCACAACGGAAGCAAAGAGCCTAGGATGGTGCTCACTCTCCACAGGTCCCACCAACTAGCCTCTTCAACACCATAAACGGCAAAACGGCAAGGGGTCTCGACTGTGTGTGCCGAGGGTTCGCGAGGAATCTGGCTGAAGAACTGAATGACTCCCCATGGTCTCGGGCCTGAGAGGCTTTGACAGGCACCCTTTGCTGATGTCAGACCTCCGGTCTGAGCTCATCGCCGCTTGATGACTGGCACGCCGCAGGGGGAGTTCGTTTGCATCTACGTGTCTGCGGAGGGGGAGCCGGAGGCCTCGCCTTGCGCGGTGGGGGGATGCCGTGTAGTTGTGCACAGGCGCTTGTCAGGTGGGGTACTCAACAAGTTATATACGAGATGTGATTTGGGTGAGCCAGTGACGGGCTATTCTACAATGCGTCTTTGTGAGTTTTCGTTGTTGGGCGAACGCTGAACCGCGTCAGGCCATCGATGCTGCCAAGGATGGGGAAGTCAAGGCACTCCGCCCAGTGGTTGCCAGCAGTGAAGGGTTTGCTGGTGCTTGGCCAATGATTGGTGCTGGAGAATGAAGTCTTCAAGGGTATGGGGCACCCGGAAAACCAGATTTGGAAGGTAACGGCCATCAGCAGAACATGTCGCTTTCACGCAAGCAACTGGGTGCGTGAGGCTTGGGAGGCAAGGATTTCTCCTTTCCTTGGGTATCACAGAATCTAATGCAACAAGACTTCTTGGGTGACACCTACCCTGCTTGCGGCTTAGGTCCACTTCGAGGCCAGATCTGCGGAGCTGCGGATCTGCAAGGACTCCAAGGACCAGCTTCAAGTCAAGTGGGCAAGATGACTCGGGGGTATTGTGGACGTGTGGGGACCTGGAGTTCGCCGTCTGGGGCCTCCAGTTTGAGCCGAAGGTGTGAAAGCCAGTTGCCAGCCACATTGGCCTTCTGCTTTCCACGGAGACATGCAACGGTAACAAAAATGTAACATGTGCAACTGCAAACGGAGCAACTGGGGCTTGAGCAAATGATGCTGGAGTTGAAATTGAGCGGCGGGGACCGGCCAACGAGCTGGGCTGAGCTGGGGGGGGGAGGCGGGCGAGCTGGGCTGGAGCTGAGTGGGGCTGAGATCGCGGATGCTTGGGGCTGAGCTTGGGAAGGGGGATCTGACCGCTTCCCCGCACAGAGGGCCAAGGCGAACATAGTCTGTAACATATTCTATGATTGGAGATTACTTTGGTCATTCTCCCCATTCGCAGGAGTTCGCCCTGAGCCTTAAGCAGCTGGAGGGCGAGATCGTCGGGCCCACAGCGGGCTGCGCCAACCCAGGTCTTGGGGCCAGGAGTTCGTAAATCCAAACTAAGCTGTTTTGACTTCCAGCGCGCTGGCTCACATGGGCCAAAGAGGCCCAACGCTAAGAGTCTTTCCGTGGTCTGGTGTCAGCCGATGCGTTTGCAGTGCCAGAACGGAGACTATCGTATTTGCAGATCTTCCTGTTTTGCCACCAGCACACAGCCAAAACCCGGGTAGATGAAGGTCAGCATGGGAGAACGCCAACAGTAAATGGGTGCAGCCGCCTTTTTTTAATTCTTTTCATGGTTCTGGGTAGACCATTTCAATACCAGGCTTTGATTCTGACTCATTGGTGTTCTTCGAGCTCCTCACATTGCCTGGGAAAGCTCCTAGGTGCCAGACGAGTCCAAACACCGGGTCAGCGCCGGAAAGCGGCCAGGACCCCAGTCTCTCGCAGCCATCGCTGGCCTCACCCACCGTTCCATGGGCCCACACTGGCATTGGCTCGCATGCCTGGAGCCCTGACCACAGCGAAGCTTTCAGGGTGACGTTGAAGATGAAAAAGAAGAGGACGGCCAGAGCCCGAGCACAGCAAACCAGTCGCTTCACAACTCCAAGACAGCTTCCAGCAAGGCTGGCTGGTTTGTCCTCAAGTAGTGTGCTGCTGAACCAGGGATCTGCAGATTGTTGCGCGGTCGTTCTGATTGGCTTTAATTGCGAAGTTGCTCAGGTGACTTGGACCCGACTTCAGCAGGGCAAGTAGGCGATCCACCAAACCTCTATGTGTCACCCCATACAACTCTTCCAGTATCGCTTGGCTGATGTGAGCATGTGTAGAGAAATTGCAGGCGCAACTGCACTTGCCTTACATGAAGCCAGGCAAGTACAAGGCAGTGCTCCCGGATTCAACAGAATAGAGTGGACAAGTTTCTTGAAAGAGGACTCGTGATCCGCCGAGTGCAAGGCAAGCAATGTAGAGAGAAGTTGCTAGGGGACTCAAGAGTCCATCAAGTGCATGATCCGAGGGAAGCAATTCGCTTCCTTGATTGTCTCAGTCGAGCAAAGGAAGTCAGGATAGGCTTCCAACAATTTGACCTCCCAATGTCGCGCCTCATTGCTATCACGGACTTCCAGAGAACTTTCTCGCGACTGAGACAGAATCTTGGCGCTGTACAGTGCTGGCACCATGAGACCAGCTGCTGAGGAGCCAGTGAGCCCCCGGCACAAAGACAGATTCTAGGAGCAAAGAATGCGCCAACCTGCGGAAGGTCTTTGCAATGGATGTCAGGTTCCGTCAATATTTCCGGTTTATGGTCAATTGGGACATGGGGGACTGACTATATGTCCCGCAAAAACCAGGAAACTTCCACTAACAGCAGTATCTTTTGACCATGGCTCATGTGCGCCTTTGCTTCCGCGGCCTAGGCTCAATGCACGCAGTGACACATACCAAGTGCTGCGAAGCATCATTGTTTCCCGACAGCACTATACTTTTGAGGAGTCCGTGCCTGCTTTTTCCATGGGGAATGGTGCAGAGTTTGTCAACAGATTCTACCAGAGCACTGAGTCGGTGAGTGGCCAGCTTGCACCCATGGCTCCTGTCCTCCAGGCAAGGCAAGCTCGTTGTGATGGCATTGATCTTGCCCGCTCCAGGCGCCAGTGCAAGCACTAGGCAGAGGCGGGAAGGTACCGGCACGCCCTTCGGTTCTTGAACATGATGAGACTAACATGGGCATTTGCCGTGGAATTGGGCAGCCGTTGCATTGTTTCTTGCCACTGGGTTGGTGACCTCAGGAAGTCCTGTCTTAGGCTCGCCTTTTTGACCGCATCAAGCAATCAAAGGGCGAGTCCTGCTTTACTCTGCGAGCTCAGCGCAGGCCCTTCCGCCAGCGAGGCATGGATCGCAGGCTCGCGAGTTGGACGCTGTGCAGCCACCCTCCGCCACCCGAAAACCTGGTGGTCCAGCCATTCCCGTAAACCGGCTACGGAAAAACCAGCGACTGACATGTTGTCACATGGCGTAAAGCATGATAGCGTGCCAGATGGGGCATTTTCACTGCCGCGTCAGTGCCGGGCGCTGCATTGTTCCATATTTTAACAAGCAAAAACAAACAGACAGACAGGCAGGCAGGCAGGCAGGCAGGCAGGCAGACAGACAGGCAGAGACAGGCAGACAGACAGAAACAGACACAGACAGACGGAGACAGACAGAGACAGACGGAGACAGACGGAGACAGACAGAGACAGACAGAGACAGACAGAGATAGACAGAGACAGACAGAGATAGACAGAGACAGACAGAGACAGACAGAGACAGACAGAGACAGCCAGGCAGACAGAGACAGCCAGACAGACAAAGAAAGACAGAAAGACAGAAAGACAGAAAGACAGAAAGACAGAAAGACAGAAAGACAGAAAGACAGAAAGACAGAAAGACAGAAAGACAGAAAGAAAGAAAGAAAGAAAGAAAGAAAGAAAGAAAGAAAGAAAGAAAGAAAGAAAGAAATAAAGAAAGAAAGAAATAATGAAAGAGCGAAACAACGAAATAACGAAAGAACGAAAGAAAGCAAATAAATAAAGAAACAACCAAACAACCAAACAAACAAACAAACAAGCAAGCAAACAAACAAACAAACAAACAAACAAACAAGAAGCAAATACATACACAAACACACAAACACACAAACACACACACAGGCAAGCAAACAACAATCAGGCAAGCAGGCAAGCAGGCAAGCAGGCAAGCAGGCAAGCAGGCAAGCAGGCAAGCAGGCAAGCAGGCAAGCAGGCAAGCAAACAAGCAAACAAGCAACCAGGCAGGCAGGAAGGCGGGCAAGCAAGCAAGCAAAAGCGAGCAAAAGCACTCACACTCGCCAATATTGCACTGCTGATGCAGAGCATCTTTCGGTCAGCATCGCATGCCAGGCGAGGTTGAGCTGGATTGCATCTTCCTTTCACAACCTTCAAGTGACTGCGTCACTCTAGATTTCCTTCTATATACGTTACTTCAAACATCACGTAACGGAGCCCAAATTCAGGAGGGCTTCCTTTTGGGTGGTGTTTAAGAGGGATGTACAGGGGTGTCCCAAAATGGGGAGAACCCTAGGATCGTTGACCGGATCACGAGTTTCGAGGGATTGTATCCATATGGCCATGGGGCAGAACCTATGGCTCCATTTTGGGGTGGATGAACATCCATTTGCCCCCTATTTGATGTTCACCAGGGGTTTGCTGGGTTTTGACCCATATGGGGCACCCCCAATAAATTATCTTTGGTTTCCCTTTCCATCCACAGCACGGGAGCCGGGCTTTACCAAGCGCGGAACGAGGCAGCCTGGGCCTCCTGCCGGCCCTCTTCGTAGTGGCGTGCCTGGCCAGATACGCCCGCGCGGGGCCCCAGCTGAAAAAAAAGGGGCCCCCAAAATGATCCACGTGCTCAAAGCGCGGGGATTGATGAAGGTCAGTAAGGGACAATCCCCTTGCCATAAATAGCCGCGGATGTCCGCCTTCTTAATTCTTTACATGGCTCTGGGCAGAACATTTTAATACCGGGTTTTGATTATGACTCAAATGGCGGTTGTCCTTTTGTGTTACCTTTGAACCAACCAAAACGGGGGGTCCCCTAAAGCAGACAGGTTGCGAATGGGAATGGGTAATGAGATCAGGGGCATTTCTCGTCAGTGCTCTTCGCCCAGCAACCCCATTGCTACGAGCCTACTCTGAGTCCGGCCAAACTCAGGAGTACGAGTAAATCTGGCCCCTAAGCATCCCACCCAGGCCTGTCTGAGCATCCCAAAGCAAGCTTTCGGGCCACCTGATCTCGCTCCGAGAAAGTCCGAACGAGACACTGCTGGGCCCGCTTTGGGGGATTCTTCAGAATGTCATGCAAAGAACACGAGTGGAAACAAGAGAGACAAGGAGAACCAGGGAGGAAGGGCACCCCCCCCATTTGCAGTGGGCAAAGCTGCTTGCCTATGTTTTCTCTGTTCGTGTCCCTGGTCAGCTTCCCTGGTGGTAAGTGGAATCGCTGGAATGTGCGCACGAGCAAGGCACATGCTCCCACCAAGGCTGCAGTGGCTGTTTGGAGAGGTTGCAGGCTGGTCTCCGACGTGTTAGAAGTGGCAGACCTGCTCCAAAGCCCTGAAGCCAGCTTGACCACGGCTTCTTGTAGACTGGGCGCATTGGATGGGCCGGTGAGCCGCTGGGCCAGCTTGGAGGCCGTCGAAGCTCGCGTCAGGTCAGCCTGCTGCTCGCCGCGGTGCTGAGCTTTCCTGTCACCTGCTTTTACGCAGGCGCAGAAGGCCAGGCAGCGGGGGCCGAGCTGAGCCCTTGCCTCCATGTCTCCTTCCAATTCTCAAACATGATTATTCACAGCCAATTTCAGACCAACGACTGACTGCCAGAAACCTGTGAAAACAAACGAGAGCAGGTGCGCAAGTCTGTGGACTACCCTCTGGCATGCTTGAGCAGCTGAGCTGTAGCATCTTGGCTGCTGATGTGATGAGGTGGGGTGGTGCTTGAAACACGCATGCCCAAAATGTTTGGATCACTTCAAAGTTTTACCCTGGCGGAGTCTGCTAGCCTGTGGGGTCCTTTTGAAATGTTGCAGCTTCGCGATGACAGATCCTTTCCGACTTTCCTTGTACTCGAACCCATTTTGGCTCAACCTCAGACGAGCTGCGAGGTTTTGCTTAGGCAGCTGACAATTCTGAGTATCCTTTGGTCAGTCATGGCTGAAACTTTTGCCTTCAATGCTGACATCCAGTAGTTGCTGTCCATGACTTAGCGCACCAGAGACTCACTCGGGTTTCGAATCTCGCCTCTTCCGTGTTCAAAACTTACTTTTTTGATCTCACACAGCTCTTCACGGTTCAGAAGGACACCGAACTCGTGCATTGCGAAATCAAACGAGGAACGAAGATCATCTGCTACCGCCAACATAGAGCGTGTCATGAAGGCGCAAGCCCTTCGTGACAACTCCATGACTTCTTACATGGTCTCCAAGAAGACCATGGAAGTGAACCCAAAGCACTCCAGCATGTCTGAGCTGAAGAAGAAGGCAGCGGCCGACATGACAAGACAGTGAAGGACTTGATCTGGCTGTTGTTCGACACCTCGCTCCTCACCTCTGGCTTCGACCTGGATGAGCCGACGCAGTTTGCAGGCCGCATCCACCTCATGATCAAGCTCGGCCTCAGCATCGACGACGATGATGAGGGTCTGGGCGATGATGACGACCTGCCTCCTTTGTTTTCAAGATGGAGGAGATCGACTAGACTTAGTCCAGTTGCCAGAGTGGAGTTTGCATGAGGCTGAATTCATGTGTAGCGTAGGGTATCCGGCTAGATCCAGTCTCTAGCGACACCACAAACCTTTGGAAAGACGATGACGGAATCGAAAAGCGCACTTAACACCAGACAGGTTTCTCATGCAGCTTGGCACTCCGTAAGTCTTTTGGGGGGACGCCAATACCCAAGTTTTCTTTCTTTCACCCATTGTTTCTTTTATTCATTAATTTATTTTGTTTTCTTTCTTTGTTTCTTTCGTTCTTTCTTTGATTCTTTGATTCTTTCTTTCTTTATTTCTTTCTTTCTTTCTTTCTTTCTTTCCTTCCTTCTTTCTTCCTGCATGGGTTTGGTGTGCAGTATTTCCCCAGATAGCTGAAAGCTACAGGGGTGCTAACTTCTAATAACTAGGGGAACATGATTTGCGAAATTGATGGCAGGGTGCTAGGGGATATGCAGTTTGGGGCGCTGGCTGATGTGGGCGCAGCTTTGCGAGATTGATGGCAAGGTGCTAGGGGGCATGCGCTGTTGTGTGCTGGTGCAGGTGCTGTTTGGGTGCTAATGGTGCTGGTGACGGTGCGGGCGCATGTTTGCCAGATGGAGACAGGGTGTTAAGGGGCATGCAGTTTGGGGTCTTGTTTGGTTGTCTCAAGGTACGTTGGTGGTTGTTGGCGGTGCTTTTTTGGCGACGCAGTGAGGATGCTGGTTAGGGTGCCGCTGAAATGTCCCATGCTATCTGGTGTCTGTGCCAGTGTAATTATGTTAGATTCGCCTAAGGAGAAGTGCAATCAGATTTAGACTCACAGGCAAAGACACCTTTCCCCCGTGCAATATCTTGAATGCAACTGTACGGCGACCGTCCCTTTTTCCTGCAAGCCTGAACACGTTCGGTGAGCTTTGCATTCCCAGCCCAGGCTCGGACATGCTGTCTGCAGGCAGGGTCCCGCTCGCCCGGGTTGGTCAGCCGTTTGCCCAGTCTCCCTCCCCGGGCACCCAAGTTGGGTCGAACATGACGCTCTTTCTACCGGTCAAACCTAAATCTATCAAAGCTGTACAAATCAGACCAAAGCCACCCACCAAGAGCGGCCCTGCCCTACACAAATCCCCAGCCAAATCAACAATCAACCCACCATACTAGTCCTATCCCCTCCCCAAGCGACCCTCAATACCTAAGCCTTGACCCTGTTCAAAACTCACTGCAAAATAACTTAGAACCAACCGCTAACCCACCCCAAACCAACCCTAGTTCAATCCAAGACCGCCCTAAATCGACCCGAGGCCCAATTCAGAATCTGTCTCAAACCATTCTAAACCCATGCCGTTGGGCGTTTTCAAGTTCAGCTGGCACATCAGACTCTGGAATCAGCCCTGAACCCATGCCAAACAAAACACATCCAGAATGAATCCGAACCCCATGGATACCTTCGCCTCGGTTTGAGGTGGAATAGCAAGATGACAGACAGCAGAAGATACGCTCATCCATCAGCTGTGAAGACCGAGAAAGAAAGGCATGCTTGGTTCGGATAGGGATGGAACGCATAACCTGGAGCTTTAGGAGGAGCACGTGCAAGACAGCTCAAAAAGGACGGGAACATTCACCGGGTTTGTTCAAACACCCTCTGCAAAGGTTCAAACTCAGCAATCACTCCCTACCAAGAACGGAGCTTGTAACAAGCTTATCCCAGCTTGTTCCCAGCTTGCAGCTTATTGCGAGCGCATGGTCCCGAAGTTCACCTCCCGCAAGCGGCAGGGATGAGCAACAGCGTGCTGGTGTTGCAGACGCACTTCGCAGTCATGGCGGGGCCCGAAGAATCGACTCGAGGATTACACTGGAGACAATGGTTGCTGCTAGCAAGTTGAATGGTCAGGTGCAACATGGGATTGGCATTCTGATGTTTATCTCCAGTATATACAGTTATAAATATACAGACACACACACACTCACATGTATCCACACATACGCATGGAGCGATTGCCATGCACTTGTAAGGTGTCTCATAGTAAAGCGTCAGATTCTCAGATGAATAGACGTGGTTGCTAGAATATATGATTAGTTCCAGCATAGATGATGTGAGCATCCCATGAAATCCGGTACCGTTGAGCCGCCCTTTCGTTGCTTGCCGATCGTGCATATGTGGCTGCAGCCAGGCCCTGCTGTTCGCCATTGCCTCAGCGGCTGCACTGCCAATGGCGTATGGCGATCTGAAGGGAGTACGAAAGTTCTCTGGTTTGCAGCTGAATCTCAAATTGGAGAACACAGTGAAGCCATAGTGCTTTTGTCAGGCGTCACGGCTTCACTGCTTCCAGAAAGGGTGTGCCATTGTTTGGTTGATTTCTCAGCTTGGAACTGGTTGAACTTGTTTGTGGCTTTGTTGCTTTGCTTGTGATAACTTCCACATTGTACTTCCAAACAAAGTACCCTCCACTTCTACTTGTTTTCTTTAGAGCTTCCACTGGAGATGGTTCCTGAGTCCTGGTGGTCTGCCCGGCCGCTCTGGACAGGCCAGGAGGGAATCGATGGCCCAGAGTCACGCTTCCTGAGGCTTGTTTCATTCCCCACAGATAGAATTGAGTGTTTGTTTTTGTGATGTGAGGAGGATCTTATGACCGATCTGTGTCCTGGTTCTTCGCTTTTGCATTCTGCGGTTCTTGGTACACAACCGGTAGTTGCGAGTGTGCTCAAATCACGGCCAGACCTCGACCAGCGCCACGTCCTGCTGTGTACTGACTGAGGGCTTGGCGTAAAAAATGGTTCAGTCGGTGCTGGCGATTTTGGCTGGAAGCGCTGGGAGAAGAGGTCAAGGAATTGAAGCTGACGGAGTCGGTTGCCTCAGCTTTCAGGATCTTCTTGTGAAGTGCTCAACATAGATTCTTAGATCATAATATGATATCTGCTTTGAGTTGAATGGACTGATGGCCATGCTATGAGTCATTTCAGGCCGCCGCAGCCAAAGAAAAGAACCTCGAGCATAGCATGCCACAGTAATGAAGTGTTTTCCATAAAGGCGTCAATGCAGCACTCCTTACTCGTGCACATACGAACATCTGATGCCTTTAGACTCAATTGTAGATGAGTCCAGTGCAACGAGATTTCGTTTGTTAGCACCTGCACAGCCAGTTTAGGGTGAATGCCACTAGAGATGATGTCAGCACCCAGGCGGGATGCATCTGCAGCAACACCGAAGGAATGACCGGAGAGAGCTTCTAGTGCCAGGTTGGAAGCTCCATGGGACCGTCGGGCGCCCCAGCCCAGCTTCGGATTTGTGGGTGAACAAAAACGGCGGATAGAGGTGTCGCACGCGCACCCCAAAAAGTTGAGAGTGGGCAAACCACCCCCTTTCCCGCGCATGTCATGCAATGAGGCCTAGAGTTCCAGGAGCAGAGCAACGTCGAGGCAGCTGAATTTTTGTTTGGTAGCAGCGGGCTTGTGCGGGGCCGATCCGTTTTGCCATTTTAGCAAAGCCTTGGCATCGCTGCTTGTCTTGCAGGTTTTTGCGGAGCCCGTACGGCTGCATTCTGTCCTTGGGTTTTGCTGAGCCACAGACCGGCCATGGCACAGCGGTTCAAAGTCTTCAGCCGCATCTTCTCTGTGCTGACAAAAGTCTTTGCATGGGACCTGGGCTGTTGTGTTCTTCTTCCCTGTGGGTTAGTGGCAAAAAAAATTCTCAGTGGGAGTTTGGCTGGGTGCTTGTCCATCCTTCCTCGAGTATCGAGCATGTGTAAACCGCAATGCTCACGGCACTTGCTTGTTTGGGGGAAAGCCCTAGCAGAATCTATTCCAGAAGGTGTCATGCTGTGTGAGGGCAAACACTTCTATTTGCAGCAGCTTTGCAATTTGAACACGGCTCGCTGCAAATCACCGAAGGCCTATTGTGCTGAGTTGGATCGGATGCTGTCTATGTCCTGCTCTCAGCTCTTGATGCTCCCATCAATTCGCACAAGTGCTCCGACGATTCGTACCTTTTCGGTTTGAAAACACCTTGGCCGCCTGAGTCTTTTACATTATTTGCATTCTTGCGGGTGTTCAGCTTGCTCAACCAAGGTGCCATGATGGCCATGCCTTTGTGGAGCACGTGGCAGCACTGGATCAGCGGTTTCAGGAGGCCTTGTGGAAAAGCTAGCCATGCAGAAAGTCTTCATGGCATCTTGACTGACCTATGACTGACCTGGCCTCTTCCGCACAGGGTTGGATGTCGTAGATGGCTTGGTTCCTTTCAGTTTGGCTGAGGGCTTTGTTTGGAGGATTCAGCGCCGAGGGATCAAATTGGAGTGTGTTGACTGCGCAGGCCTGGTTCTCCACCAAGTTTGGCGACCGCCACGCGGACCCCATGCAGGTCGCTTGTCACAGGGCATGGATTTGTGGCCAGCTGCGCTTTGGACCGATCAGTCTTAGTTTATGTGTGTGTGTGTGCACAATTTCTGGAGTCAGGGGGTGGCAGCAGGGCCGAGAGTCTGCCACCAACGAAGACACTCTCGTGACCCTGGTGAAGCAGTTGGAGACGTCCAGCTGTGTACCTGCAATGAGGTGACAAGCCGTTGCTTCTCCACTTGTGTTCTTGTGCGATGTTGACTTGTTGCTTTCTGAATTGCAAGGGTTAGCCAACATGATCTTCGCGACTTTCATTCATTCCAAAGAGTGTGTGTGTGTGTGTGTGTGTGCGCGCATCTTTTTGGTGGTGCTTGTGCTGTGGGGCGTGGCACGGAAAAATAGTTGGAAAGCTCAAAGGCCCTGGTTGGCTGGCTGGCGTGCCATTCAACAGCCCTAGTGGGCTGGAACACAGGGTTGCGAGGTCTTTTGAACCCTTGGCACAACAGGCAGCGGAATTGAGCTGTTTCTACGCTCCCCTCGGCGCCAAATTTGCTCCAACATGTTGCGAGCGAACGCCAGGCCTTCCGACAGGTCCCCACAGGGGGGGTGGTGCACGGCCCTCGAACCAACGCCAGTGCCCTTGGAGCGCAGGGGCGGGGGCCCCGGTGCCTCGACGTCATGGGAGACCTGGGGGTTGATCGATATTCTTGGCCCCCGGCCAGAAGCATGGGTCATCTACTACCATGTGGGAAATATCATCTTTGTGGTTATCCCCAATGGTTATCCAATGTAAAGGGCCTTTTTGATCACCCCTCCACTTGCCACTGGGGGAGCGGACCCAGGCTATTCTGAGTAGCATATTTTTGAATCACTTTGGTGCTCTTAAGGTCATTTGGACACGTTACGGGTCCTTGCGCAACTCCTGTCTCCCGGTTGATGTAAAGGCCTTGTGCCTGTCCTCTTTGGCATTTAGTTGCACAAAGCAACTGATGGCAACCATTGTATCTTCATAGTCGATCCGACCGGCGCCCCAGGTCGGAGATCCTCCAGCGCCATGCCTCGCTGCTGGAGAATCGGTACCCGAGGCGGGGATGCGGAAGCCAATGGTTTGTTGCCTGTTCGTCCGAACCGACGTCAAGTTGTGGCGAAGGTTTAGCAAGTTTTGCATAACCCAACACAATACAACGGATACTGTAGGTTGACAGAGGACTGCTGCGAGCCGTGTGTACAAAGTGTGCTTGCTGGTTGATTGAGGGTTGGGACTTGGGCAGCCAATCTCAATGCTGAATAGCCGGCTGGAGCTGCTGAGACGGCCCCGGAATGTTTCGAAGTTCTGGACATCTCTAAGTACTTTGACTGAGATGGGACTGACTGCCAGGCCAAGCGTCACTCCGCGCTTTGAAGCCGCCGCGGGTGCAGGAGGGGCATGTTTTGACCATTCAGACAACAAGTCAACCCCTGCCAATGTGTCTTCTCCGAGCAAAAGAGGATAGTGCTGGCAAACATGGTCAACGGATAATGTTGACTTCGGAGCCGTACTAGTCTAGGGTGGCTCCCCTTTTGGTAGAGTGGGACCGCTTCCTCTCAAGTGCAATGGGGGTCATGGCTGAGTTTGACTTGACTTTGTCACACAGGTGCCTTTTCCCGGCCCACTGCGGCTGGGCCGTCGCGTGCGGGCCCCATCGCCCCACTGTTTCACGGGGGGTGAGCGAAAAGTGAAAGGGCACATGGACCAAGAGGATCGGGAGAAGCAACACGCACCAAATATGGTATATGCATTTGGGCCCAAAGGTAAGATCTGCAGGAGCAATCGGCTGCTACTTGAGATTGGCATGTCTCATTGCATGACCGCTGGTTGCCAGCCCAGTTTTATCAGTTTCAGATTTCAGATTCGCCAGGGTGCCGAGAATCTGCTGGCGGAGAAGTGCAACAAACAGTTCACAGTTCTTGCTGCAGGCTTGCTAAACTGGTAGTCAGTTTCACAAAAGTGGCTGCAAGGCTGTCACGTGAAGCTGCGCATTGTCTATGCCATTCTTTGGCATTCTTGGGCCAAGGGAACAAACAGGCGGCCAGGGGCAGAAGAGGCGCTGGCCGCAGTCAAGACATCCAACACCGAGGCTACACCTGCCGAGCAGCTTCGCCTCGCATGCGACAGGACATCTTTGTCTGCGTGTGCATGTGCCGAGCGCGTTTGAAGCACGAATCTTAAGGCTTCTTCCTGACAGTTTGATGCTGCGTCGTTGCTTCCCGTTGCAACAGGCTCCACAAGCTCAGCGATTTCCTGGCTTTAGGAAGCCCGGTCATCTCTGCATCGATTCGTTGAGTCGGTCACTCGCGTGCGCGGAGCTGTCAGGAGCCAAGTCCGCCGAGCCCCCGCTGCGGCTACTGCGGCAGCCAGGTGCCGGCGGCGGCGTCCTTTTGCAGCCACTGCGGCTGCCAACAAGAGGCTGGCAAAGGGAGCTCGTCATTGTTATGCCTTTGTGGACCAATATTCCACTCGGAAACGTGGAATGGGGTATCCCTGAGCAAGAGATCTGGCCCCAAACAAGAGCAGCTTTCTCTCAATTCATCATGGGACGGGCGTCTAGCCTTGCATGGCCTCGCGTCGCATGGCCAGGCAGAGCGTCCGTGGCCGAGGCACGGCCTTCACGCTTTGCGTATGGAGATGACTTGACTTGAACACTTCCTGAAATGCTTCACTTAAAGACATTCCATTGGCATAGCACATGGTGTTTCCGTGTTTCCATGGGCGCCTTCCACTTGAGGTTCCATCATGTACACGGCATACAGCGCAAGCCAATCCATCAGCCCTCAGAGTGCTATTGCGCCAGGCCGCCGCCTCCGCCACGGGTTTGAGCTGTAGCTGGGCATCGCTGGCACTGAGCTTTGCCCGTGGCATGAAACTCACAGGTGGTGAAGCCATGTGCTCATGCACGGGCGGCAGGCCAGTTCCAGCAGCTCAGAATTAGCAGTCCATGCATCTCAAAATTCGATTCTGCTTGACAGCCCTTGTATGGACTTTGCAGTCCAGAGGTATGGCAAATGGCGCCTGCAACTGCCAGAGATGTGCTGCATTGAATCCGCCAGACAGGGCAGCGAGACTTTCCACTCCCATGTAGTTTCATTGCAACAACAACGTGCATATTTTCATCCATGCCGAAAAACCGAAGGTAGCCGGCAGCGCCGCTCTGCGGCGTGAACAGTATGGGAACATCACGAAGCTCTCCAACCACAAAATCCTCGAAACGGGCCTGTTTGCCAGCTCGAAGTGGATGTTCTTGACTCAGCTCGCTGGTGCTTGGGACTGCGACTTGGAATCGGCTCAAAGGCTCGGTGCTTTGACGCCAGAGCCTGGCAGCACGGCACATGCGCGCCGCGACGGTCTGCCTGAGGCGCTATGAGGGGGCACATTCGGGCAGGTGGCAATATCTCGCAGCTTTTTTTTAGGAATCTGTCGTCCTGCCAACATGGGACGTGTCTGAATGAGTGGCTTCTAAGCTATTTCCGACTGTGACACTCTTGAGACTCATCCGGACAAGTGAGTACTTGAGCAGTCATCATTTAAGTACGCGAGTTCTTCTCCGTACTTTGCCCAACAAGGTCCCTAGTCCACCATTTTTTCCAACCCCCTGCATTCGCTGCATTGCCGTTGACACTAGGCCATGGCACGTGGCGCGCTTGCCGCCTCCTGGGACGAAGGCTGCCGTGAGCCGATGTTCAGAGAGTGAGTTCAGGAGAGTTCTGTGAAACAGTTGCTGTTGGGTTGGGGGGTATGGAACTATTCTTGCACAGGATTCTATTGGATTTTGGAGGGATATGGGATGTGGAGTGACTTGCAAGGAGTTCGGAGAGGTTCAGAGGGTCGCTTAAATGGCTCTGATTGTTAAGAGGCGACCACCTCGAAAGTGGTGGCGGGCATGTTTCCCCACCCTAGAGAAAAAAGGATATCCTTATTGAAATTTGAACCCAAATGATCGAAGTGAGAAGGAAAGGCGACAGCGGAACATGCCAAGTGCGCGTGGAGTCCTCAAGAGGGAACTCCGGAACCCCACGTTGCGACTGCCCCTTTACAAGTTGCAGCGAGGCAAAGGCTGGATGATAAGAAGGGACACGCAAGGGAAAGGAATCAGCAAAGAAGGGAGAGGACAAGAAGGAAGGGGGGGAGCCTTGATAGGAATTAAGCTGCGCGAACAAATGGAGATTGCATGATCTCAGACCTGTGCCTTTTCTTCCTCAGAACTTAGCTTCCGGGGTGCCAGGTCACCTAGGACTGGATGTGAGGCCGGAATCTTAGCAAGTTGGCTGTCTGCGCTTTCACCATGACGTCTTGTCTGCTTGAAGGCCATGTTTGACGCCCTTCAGAAAGCGAAATAGGATTTGGAGGGGTATCTATTTTAGGATTTTTAATTGTTTTTTTTTGGAATTCTTTTCGCTTTTGGCTTCTTGGCTTCTTTGCTTCTTGGCTTCTTGGCTTCTTGGCTTCTTGGCTTCTTGGCTTTTCGGCTTCTTGGCTTCTCGGCTTCTGGGCTTCTGAGCTTTTCGGCTTTTTGCTGGTGTATGCGGCTGTTGGTGGCTTTTTGGCTTTTCGCATCCTCTGCATTCCCAGTTCCTCTTGGTTGCTTCGTTTAGGCCGGGGCGAAACTGTTTGCATCCGGCTGCCCGCAGCAATTGAGCGACTCGTGGGAAACTGCACCAGGGCCTTCTTCTGTTGAGCCCGGTGGTACGGGTCCCAGGTTAAGGACCGCACTGAAGGCGCTGGATGAGGACGTGGCCTCAGATTCGCGAGCATGCCGGCAGAGAAAGGTAGGCTACAATCGGCGAGATATTTTGGGTGGGTTTAAGGGAAACCAAAAGGAAACCACATGTTTGGGGCCCCACGATTTTGGGCTTATTCACAACTCAGGTAAGTGGTCAGCATTTCAAGTGCATGTGGTTCCAAACAATCCTTAGTAGACCAAGGAGCGGAGTCTGGTCGGGATTATCCGACCAAACTTATCATGCTTCTTGCAAAGCAGCAGTTAGGACTAGCTCGGTTCTCGCAGGAAGCATCCTTTGATCGGTCCCGCGTGACTTGAGCTGACCAGACATGCTGTGGCGGGCTTTCCACAGGTCACACTAGTTCCGCGGCCGCTGTCGTGCGGGCGCCTGGTGTGCACAGCTCGTTCTCCGGCAACAAACCAGCAGACTCTTTGAATCCGCCGTTGCACCCGTTGCTCAAGCAGTGCAAGAAAGGCTGTGGGCCCTGGAATGGGCTTGGTCAACTCTTTGGGCCATGAGACCTGGTGTGATACCTGCAATGATACCTCTTCAGGCTTCAAGTCGGCATGGAGGGTTCGTTGCAATCGTGGCTTGGGGTGTCGGCCCTGGGGATTTTTTTTGTTCCGTCTGATGTCAGCACCTGTGAGGTTCATTGCATGTTTGCCACATACTTGAGGTGTAACACGTATGTTGAGCTGGACAGATTGGGGCTTGGGCGGGCTTGGTGACTTGATAGCCCGTCACGTGTGATGCAACAACTTTTCGGAGCTGGAGCAAATTTGAATCTCTTGCCCTTTTCCACTATCAGTTGTGGATAATGAGGTTTCAGGAGGCTTTTTGCTGCCGCAAGCAGCTCCGCTTGGATTGCCCTTTAAAGTACGGGAAGGAAATCTCTTCGGGGTTGGAGTCCTTTGGGTTGCATTGCTTCGTGCCCAGTCGCCAATGCGTCAACGATTGGCTGGGCAGCTTCACTGGTGTGCCCGGCCTGTGAACTTTTTGCTCGCCTGAATGCAATGACATGGTAGCAAGCCTCTTGGTACAGCTGGCTCAAAGTTGGCTCAAATCAAGGCAGCCTGCACGCTCCTTGTCTCATATCATGACGCCAGCAGGTTGGGGAGACATCAACAAGGTGATTGGCGCACCGCTACAGAATGTGGCAGGTGATGCATACTGGTTGTCCGTTTTCTGTATGTGGCGGACCTTGCCCATTAGCTGCATCCAGGGCGTCATTGCCGGCCTTTGCAAGGCTGTGACGTCGTTCATGGTCTCGGGCAGCTATTGCTGCCAGTGCATACCACAATGGCTATGCTGTTCAGATGTGGGCTCTGTCGAGTGTGGCCAAGTTGTAGAGATTTGTTCTGCGCAGAAACGACGGGGATTTGGAAGTTCCAGATCCGGGCCTTCCTGCTTTCTCTCCGGGTTCCTTTGCGATTCACAACAGGGATGCCATTCTGCGGGACATGGATGTGGACGACATTTGTGTCCGAGCCTTTGCGGTCAGTGAGTATCGAACAAGGACCATGGCCCACTGGCCAACACCCTGAGTTTTCACAGCGTATGGAGAGCAGGGTTCATCCACGGTGAACATTCGCCCCACAGACACCATATCCAATCACTTGGGAATGGCTCCGTGCATCCTCGCCCCATCCTGGATTTGTCATTGGCGGTCTGGTCACCCTCATTGCGAACAGCAGGAGCCGACTTGCGCTGTTTATCTGGGAGTGGAAGGTGTTTGGTGAACGTGATCACAACTGGCACGGTGAGGGGTTCTGGTCGGTGCAGTACAAGGAAGTCAGCGACACCACGAAGTCCAATCAGAGGAGATCGTCCTCGTTTGCGTGCATCCAAGCCTGCACATCTGACTTGTTTTCTCGCGAGAGCCTTGCACGCCACCTTGCTGGACAAAGGAGCGGCATGGTACATTGAGCGCTCCAACAAGCTGAAGGAGTACATCGACAGCGACTGGCCCACCCCAAAGTTGGAGGATATGAGCGACACAGAGACTTCGGGTTCTTGTTGCCAAATGCATCTACATGGTGTTTGGAGTCTGGCTCGACCAGGAAGACGCGGAGGTCATGGCTAAGTGGCGAGACTGTGCTCTGTACTTCGTCCTTCCACGGCTGGTCCACCGCCCTCTCTTCAACCTCGGAATTTGCAAGGTGAAGCAACTCCGCGCTGATACAGTTGCACTGATCGAGAAGCACAAGTTGGAGTCTTTCATCATTGACATCAACAACAAGCTGCCCGAGAAATATCGGAGGACCCCAACGGTGAAGCTTGCGGATGAGACTTTGTTTGTTGTGGGCTTTGCGGGCGTTGGTGGGACTTCAGCAGCATGTGATGGGCACTTTCCTGCAGTGCAAGATCCCTGAAGAGGCCAGCGCACATCTCAGCATTGAGAAGTATCCGACGTCGGAGTCCATGGTGGCAGCTTTCAAAGAGAGCCCAGTGACGTACATCAAGGAGGCGTGCCGCATCGATACGCCAGTGACAAGCGCCACCAACGTGAGCAAAGAAGCGCGGGTGGTGACGCTCAGAGGGAAGAAGTACTCCCGCCGGCGGACACGCTGAATCAGTATGTTTTATCCATGGCGAACCGCGATCCTTCGGTGTTCTCCAAGCCAGACGTCTTTGACCCCAGCCGCAAGGAGCTGAACATGGCTCTCACCTGGAACGGAGCCTTTGGAACACCCGACGAGGACACCGTGTATCCTCGCATTTGTCCGGGCCGCCATTTGGCCCTTGATGTTACCCAGGCCATCGTGGGCCATTTTGTATTTTGTGGGGCGGGAGGCGACGACTTCCAAGGATGCTGAATTTCCAATGAGGCTGACATCCCAGCGGGCTGTGTTATGTTTTGAGATCCGTTTGGAGCTGTTCGGTGAACTTTGCCAGCTCCAAGCACATTGTTAACGTTAGTTTTCAGGGCTCAATGTTCCTGGAGCCCAACCCAGGCAAAAGCCTGACTCAGGGGGAAACTCATGTGCAGTACCCAAACCCCTGTTTGCCGTTTTAGTAGAGCCAACAATCAATGGGGTTGGGGCGCTGCCAATGTAGGCTTGCCTGTACCCAGCAGGCGCAGCAGAACAGAATACTTGCTACTGCGGTGTGCAATCCTTGCAGACTGATAAGTACTAACTCAGTGCCAGCTCAAGAAGTCCGATTGTGGGGGTCGGGCGCTTCTTCTCCGAACCCGCACCCGCACACTCCTTCATTCTTAGGCTTTTGCAGGAGGTTGCTTTTTGTGTTCCCAAGCAGACTGGTTACACTTTGCATGTTTTAAGATTGAGCTTCCCGTGGACATGTCAAGAGTTTCGGCCAGGCACGCGACCGCGGCGGGGGCATGAGCTCTGCCCGGGGTCTCAGGGCGAGCGAGCGCAACGCGAAACGGCCGGACCCAGATGGGGAAACGGCTGGACTCTGAGCTGGGAGGAAGATGACGCGGGTGTAGCTTAAGAATAATCAGCGGTTCCATAGGATTCTTTGCTCGTTTTCGTATGCCAAGGTGGCATTTAGGGTATCATTTCGTGAGCCACGGCCGCTTGAGAGAAGCTCATGTCCCGGCTACTTTTTGATACGAATTCCAAGTGTCCAGCTCGTGGGGACAATGAAGGACAGCCCAAGTAAAGCCTTGCAATGTCAGACAGACTTCGTTATTTTGCAAAAGTGTAACCCACATATTGGGCTCAATGCTGTGCCTTATTTAAGGGGATAGCCAATATGCTGCCATTGCAAAGCAAACACAGAAAACCAGAAGCTCGATATCATGCAGTTGTCTACAACAATTCCAGTGTCTACATGGTATACAGCAGTAGCAGAGACCATTCCAATCAACTAACTCTTTCGCCAAGTGTAAAGCATGCTTTCAGCAGTTTTAACAATCACAAAGCTATGGCGAAGCATTGCCACATCTACTCCTTGTACAACGTTCCCGCACTGTATACTGACAAGGTGCATCGCAGCCGCAACATGCGTGTGACCATGTCTGGTCACATCATTGGCAGCCTATCGCTAGTTTGGGAAGAGCTTGGGCCGGCCACCAAACTTCCCTATCCGAATCCAGTTTGTTCATGTTCAGCACTGAAGTCCTTGTCTGAAACAACGTCCTACATATTGGCAAGGGTAAGGATTTGCCAGCAATGCAGCTTGCTCATGCGCCAACATCGATGTGTTTCACCCACCAACTCGGTTTTATGGCAAGATGGAATCATGCCAGATTCACAGCACTTTGTTTTTTGGATGATGGCACAAGAGCAGACAAGAGTAGCTCTCTCTTACAATTCTTTGCACATTCTGACCAGTCATGCAAAGAGCGCCAGAAAGGGGCTTTGTCTACAAAGTATAGTGTGGTTTTGCAAGCGGAAAAAAACACATCTCCTCTACCGAAGCTCAGGTGATGCCGGGGTGATGACCGCTGGAAGCAACAATCAAATAACAATTCGCTTTCTTTTTTAAGGCGGTGGTGAAGCGCTGGTGATGCTGACGATGTTGACTACTGCAATGGTGATGCTTTTCATGGATTCTGCAGGTACGTGGTGGGGCAGAGTATTGCTAAGCACTCATGGTGCGAGTAGGAAGCGAACAGCTTGGTGTGTCACATTTGCAGAACACACACGCACACACGCTGGCAATGCCGAGTTTCTAGAACCTATACCTTGATGTTGGAGATTGTATGGGGCGGCAATGTGCTGAGTATCGCAACTGTCCGTACTCATTCAGGGCTGTGCAACCTGTGACCACGTCTTTCAAGGGGTGTTGGAGCGTCCATGGCAGACTTGATTGGCTTCGCCTGGTGCTTGGTGGCTGTTATGCCCTGAGGTTCTGCCTTTCTTGGCAGTCCAGAGCACAAGACTTCCTTCCAAAATCAGCCTCCGCCCCAGCAGCAAGGCGTGGACAGACTTGAACATGCGGTGCTTCTGTCAGCAGGATATCAGGTGTTGCCAGCTCCAGACACTAGAAAAATCTCATAGATCTACAAGCATAGCCCAAATGTTTGCCAAGTGAAGTTGCATGACACTGAACTCTGAGATTTACCTTTGCTTGAAGCTCGGCTCAAGTTGAGCAGGAGTTTGCATCTGCACGGCACAGTCCGTCGCGCTACCCAGCATGCCCGTGGATCCCGAGCAACTGTCGGAGGAGAACCAGAGGCTCAAAAAGGAGTTGCAGCACTTGCAGCATCAGCGAGGCTTTGCAGCACACTTTGCGATGGGGAAGTCTTTTTTGGATACCCTTGCCTGGGTTCATCTATCTTAAGACCAATTCATATGCTCGATTTGGTGTGCTCAGTTCATTCCAGTTCGTTCCTTTCCTGCCCTTCTCTATGGCGGAAGCACTGCCTATGCGCGTCCGGACAGCGATCCCTGAAGTTGACATTTGGCCATGGGTCAAAATCCCGCACCCCCAGTAAACATCCCAATCCCCACCAAAATAGACTAAAATGGGTGGTGCACCTACCCTGTGACCCACAGCCATCTAGCGCAGTTTTCAAGGAGACCGGGAGAAGAATGACTTCGAGGCCAGGATCGCCTCGGAGCGGGACTTGGGCAAGAGCCACCAGGAGGCTGCAATGCAGAGGACCGGCCTCAAGCCTCAGGCCGCTTGCTGCCACACTTGCGGCTTCAAGATAGGCAAGATATGCAAGACATGCTGCCTTGAGGACCCATGAACTAGAAGCAATGAAGAGCAAGATGGTGAAGTTGACTCGGCAGCTCGACGAAGAAGTGCAGAAGCGCGACCAGGTGTCTGCCGAGTCCCAGCAACTGGAGAGACGAGTTCAAGATCTTACCAAAGGCGCGAGCCTGACCAGCACATGGCATGGTGCATGTGCACGGATGCGGCCTATCTGGGCCCACTGGTATTGCTTCAGCCTTGAAGCCTAGGATCAAGTTTGCCCAATCGATGTGTGGGTATTCCCCTGGGACAGCAAGCAATTCGCAATGAGGGTCCTTGGTCTGTATGCATGTTGCCACCTTGAATGCATGCAGCCTACTTCAATTAGAGTTGGCTGCAAACCGGCCAGGTGGCAGCATTTCATCGCAACAGCTTCCCGTTTCGCCCACGAGTACTCAGAACGATGAGCAGGCGCTTCGGGAGCGCGGTAGCCAGGCAGGGGAGTCGCGGCAGACTTTGTGCCGAAATGGGCTTGACTTTTCTTTTCACGTTTGTGCAAGGGCAAACTAGCCTCACAGACGAATTGCGAGCTTGTTGTACTGTTTGAAAGGCATCTAGCAGTTCTTGAAAAACCAACATCAGGTTTCCACCAAGTTGATGCGGGTGGTGGACCAGTGGATGCGGGCACGCGACCTGCAGCAAGCTTTGCTTCGCGGAGCCTCCATCAACGACACGGCTTTTGCCACCCTGGTGCAGGCCTTGAATGACTGCCCCTCCCTGCAGACCCTCGACCTATCGCAGAACCTGCTGACCATGGACTCCTGCTCGGACCTGTGCCAGCTCATCACCACCGCGCCGAGCCTCTCCTTCATCTCCATCGCGGAGAACCTATTCTCGCTGCGCTCCGTTGGCTACTTCATGACAGCAGAGCCTTTGCTTGAAATGAGGTGCTAAGCATGTGCCTAGCAAGTCAATGGCGAGCCATGAAGTCAATGGTGTTGATGCCGTCCTGACAAAACCCTCGCAGCAGTCGCGCTTGAAATGCAGCAACTGTTTGAGCAAAGCAGAGGTCATGGAACGGCAGAACACCAAGAAGCTCATGCCATTGGACCTCCTGGATTTGCAGGGCAACGAGGCGCGTCGCTCTGAGCGCGAAGGCCAAACAGTGTTGGAAATTGTTCCTGCCAGCAGTTCCACCTTGCATGCTTGGCACACCTTTCAACACAGGACGGGTAACACAGCATTGCGTTCATACTAAAACCCTCAGGACAAACAGTCTATAGACCAAGCCCGCCATTTCACCATCTCTCTGAATGTGTCAGCCAAACAAGGTTGACCACCAGCAAATATCCATGCACACGAAACAGAAGCACATGGCTGGCCAATTGCTTTTCAGAGCAGAGCCGGGTCTTGTTTTCCAGAACAGCCGACGCAGACTCAGACTACACAGACTCCATGGACACCGACTCCTGAGCACCCCGTTTTTTTCCTTCTCAAACCTTAGGGCCTGCTGGCCGCGGCGGCCGCCCCTGTGCCGGAGGCCCTGCTGAGTCAAGTGCAGCAGGCCACCAAGGCGCGGCTGCCTCCAGGAGGCCTGGAGCTGGTGGCCCAGGTCATGCGTGCCCTTTGGCGCTTCCTGCACGACACCGCCCATCCTCAGGCCGACGAAAACACCCCTTTTGGACGACTCCCGGAATTCGGGGGTCCCGCGGTTGCTTCTACTTTGAACAGAAACAGCCGGTTTTCTCCCCTTCCGGGTGTTTGTGGTTCCTGTCTTTGTGCACTCATGCACAGGTCAAGGATGCAAGCGATGAAGAGGTTGCGTTCTACATCATGGACAAAATCACGCTCAGAAAGATGGAGAACGCACTCATGAAGATTCTGCTGCTGGGTGCTGATTCTGCCATTGATGCAGGCTCCGTGCAGTACCGTCCGGTGACCGCCAACTTGGCCTTTGCATCAACCATGGAGGCTGCTATGGAGGACGCAAGACCTCCGCCAGCCCCCACTCCCACACAAGGGACAGCAGAGAAGCAACGGCAGGGTGCAGGATACCCACAGCAAGCAAAGCCGCACAAGAATGCAACACAAGATAAGGGATCCCAGCGCACTGCGGACCCTTTCGCTGACTTGAAGACAGCCTTTGAGCCGCAGCGCGAAAAATTGAAGACCTTCAATCTGAAGCAGATCGTGACCAGGAACGGCACAGTGCTCATGAACATGCTGGAGCGGTTGTTAGAGACCACTGAGATTGATGCCAGGGACGTGGAGACGGAGCAGACCTTGCTGGAGTATGCTTGCCACACAGGCAACATGGGCCTGGCCAAGCTCTGCTACCGCCGGGGGGCGAACTTGTCTGCCAAGACGGAGAAGGGTGAGACGGCATTCAACATCGTCACAAAGAACAAGCGCTACGATCTCATGGAATTCTTTCACAACTATGGGGTGAAGATCAATTCGGCGGATTCCCTTGGCAGGACCGCTCTTCATGTCGCCGCCGAAAATGACGATGTGGACGGCGTTTGCCGACTCATTGAGTGGGGCGCGGACGTGAACATTAGGGACAACAAGAAGAGGACACCCATCCACGTAGCTGCGGCCTTTGGTAACATGAAGACTTCGATGCTGTTGCTCGAGGTGGGTGCCGACATGAATGCCAAGGATGATCGCGAGTACACCGCCGTGGCGCATGCCGAGGCGAAAAACCATTTTGTTCTCATGGACCGGCTTGTGCAGCTGGGAGGGAGGGGTCACGGTCTTCATCAAAAGAAGGAGCAAGATTTGTCCAAGTCCAAGTCTGCCAAGATGATCGGGGAGCTGGTGGTTTCTTCTGGGCTGCTTAAGAGCACCTCGCTTGGAAGGATTGGCAAGGTGGCAGTGAAGGGGATGTCTGGCCCACTGCGGCCCAAAGAATTTGGCAAAACCACCTGAGCTGCCACGTTTGCATAAGCTGCTTGGTCTCACAGTAGTAGGTGGGTTATTGCCTCTGAGCAATCGAGACAGTCATAATGCCCGGAGGAGTAATCCTGCATGGTGCTCAAAGCTTAATCTCAACTTGAGCATTTTCGTGAGCTGGCCTTAGCTCACTACAGGCATTCGTTTCACGTTTGCAGAAGTTTGCATTCGTACTTTCTGGATTTGGTCGCCCAAGGCAGACAGCAAGGAAACAGTTGCGAACCACTGCTGCTCACTGTTTGGGGCTTCAGCGTAGCAACCATAGACTCACAAGACATGGGATGTTTGAACCCTCATGAAGGGACTAAGTCTTGCCTTCTGCCAGGCTACGGCCAACCGCCCCCGCAGCAGGGCTATGGCCAACCGCCCCCGCAGCAGGGCTACGGCCAACCGCCCCCACAGCAGGGGTACGGCCAACCGCCCCCACAGCAGGGCGGCTACCCACCTCCGCAAGGCCATAGCTTGCGCTTGATCGACACATTGAGTTGCCCTTCAACCCTTTCACTCTTTGGACACCTGAGCCACTCAAAGTGTAGCTGGTTTGGGAGGGGCATGGGCAAAGCATGCAAAGTGCCAAAAGCAAAAGCTGGGGGCACCTCAGCAGCTCGCCGCCAGGCCAAGGTCCACCGCCGCAGGGCGGCTACCCACCACAGCAAGGCCAGCCATATGGACAGCAGCAGCAGCCGTATGGACAGCAGCAGCAGTATGGACAGCAGCAGCCAGGACCGGCGACCTCGTGTGGAATGGGGGAACAAAAACACCTGGGTGCCAAGCAAATCCCATTTGTCCAGTGGGCTGTTGCAAGACTGCGGAACCACATGTGGCTGTTTCAAGTGCTTGTTTTGTGAGCATCGGCGGCACTTGCATCCTTGACTTAAGCATGATGCGAACCCTGGATACTCATGCAGCAGGCTCAGTATTGGGACATGAAATTGCCCATCAAAACCCATTGGCTAGATCACATATCCCTGTGTTACACAAGACCAAGCATGGGTCTGGTAGGTCAAGTATGTCCCTGCGTGATGACTGCTAAGCTGGTTTTGCCGCTTGACTGGCTCTCCGCTGACATCGTCGATCTCCCACTCATTTTGCCAGCGATTTACATGGGCTCGGCATTGCGAAACCGTGCTAGTTTTTGTGAAAGGGCTTAGCAGGCACGGAGAGAAGCGCAAGCCAACGCATGTGCAAAATTTGGTTCCCTGTTGGGATGACTGGACACGAACTCCAATCAGAGTCGCCCGTTCGGCTTGGGTTCAGCCCGACTCAGACATTCAGCTTGCAATCGCATGCCGTGTGAGGATATTACCAGGGACAGCCAGGGCAGCCAGGTGCGGCTTGGGGCACTTGTTGCCATGGAGGGCTTTCTTTTGGTCCGTGCCAATTTTGAAGCCGCACCATTCTCCAAGACTCTTTCCCAGCGTTTCAAAAAGCGTGAATTTCACCCCCCCACCCCCCCCACCCCCCCAAAAATGTCTTGGCTGCCTTGCAGGCTACCAGGGAGCACCTGGGGCGCAGGGCGCACCCTATACGCAGCCGGGGCCTTGGAGGGTTGAGCCAGAGACACGCCACGCGAGTGACAGGCGCCAGCAATTGGTTGGAGATTGTAGGAACCATGCCGTGATTTGCAAGCACCTGGATTGTCCCGCAAAACCTCAGCCGTCCCGGATTCGGAATGATGGCCTCGTTTGTTTCAGCACTTGGCCAGCATCTGGGGCAACGGCTCATGCCAGAGGAGGAATTTGCTTTTCACTGGAACGCACAAGCCTTCCAGCAGGTGTCGCACGTGCAACAATGGTCGACTAGCAATGTGACGTGGCCTTTTTTCGGAATCACCCACACCACGACGCATGCACCAAAATGCATTCGTCTCAGGCAGCCGTCTTCCAAGTCCAAAGCTGCACTGATAGCAGGCTGGCGGTCGAGGGGAGGAGAGGATGTCTTTTTGAAAGTACTCCCACTAGACCAGGGTGTACTATGCCAGGTCAATGTTGCCATCGCCCGAAGATCATGAAACCCAGTGGAAGGATTCATGATGAACCCTGAAAAGAGCCACGACCAGACCCCTCAGTTCAGAATCCATACCAGAAGAGCTTCGACCATGCCACGTTTTGCTCACCCTGGGGGTCAGCAGGCATCATGTCTCCGTTTGGCATCGCCATCCTTGGCGCTGGCCTCTACTTCTGGTGCAGGCAGGCAGTGGCGAGCCTTGCGGAGGGCCTGCCAGCTGTAGTCAGGAGTACGACCAGATGAATGAGAATTTCGCAGTCTTGAAGTCGTAGCATTGTTGCTGAGCGTGGCCTAATGCATGGCCCACTTGCATGTACTCCACCGCCAGCCAACCTGTATGTGATAATCCAACATCAAGTGCAACAACCACGTGAAGTGTGTTGTGGCCTGTCTTTCCCATCTTCCCCTGACGCGCGGCTCAAGCCCGCTAGCTCGCTTGTCCTGAGCCGAACCTTGCCAACGAAGTCCTTTCGCACGTTGCGCGTTGCCAGGAAGCCGGCCCCTCAGCAGGGCAGCGGAGGCGACGCCGGGAGCGAGATCGAGGCGCTGGGACTTGGCGTTGCAAAATCTGCACAGACGGCCCGAGAGATGACACAAATGAAGATCGCACGCGCATTTGCGTGTAGAAGAAGATGTATGCTTGCGTAGTGAGGTTGTTGGTGCATGAGCCATAATATAATGTTTTCGCTGACCTACCTGGACCATAATATAAACACATTCAATTTCATCTCTGTGACATGAGCCACATGTGCTCACACTACAGTGTAGTGAGAGCAGAGCACATGAATTTGGGACAATTTCCTGGAGCCCCCTGTGACAAAAGGTTGGGGGCGGCAGTTCTGATTGGGGGAACTAGATTCTCAGCGAAGCGAATTATGAGGACAGCGACATGGACGATGACGATGACGGCTCAGAGAAAAGCTGAGCAAATGCGAGCAACTCTCGGAAGCAAATCTTGGCACCTCACAACTTCATAGCTTAGCATTTTTGCTTCGGAGAACTGGCCCGTTTCAACACGGCAGCTCTAACTCCCTACAGCCTGTCTTGTTGTGCGGTAAGGAAAGTGGTCGTGCTACTTTGCGTAGGCTGTGTCTTTTGTTCAAGATCTATGTGACTCTTGAAATTGGAGGCCAGAGTGCCGTGCTCGAATCCCAAACCTTGGAGAAAATCCAGGGGAAGGTGGTGATGGCTGAATGTTGTTGACCTGTTGACAATTATTGTATGCAAGGTGTAGCTGCTGAGCTCTGGACTTGTGGTTGCCTGGTATGTGCAGCTACTGCACAAAAGTCTCCCTCGGCACTGCCCCAACGCGCTGCCTTGCACTTCCCAGTGCCCCGGAGAAAAGATGCTCGGAGTTGGGTTGCAGCGATTCCGCAGTCCGTGGCCCAGTGTCCACTGCCTTGGTGGGGTGTGCATTGTGAGTCCATTGCCACCGTGCCACACTTGCCGAAACCTTTGTAGTGTTTCCTGTTTTGGAGATGCAACAGTTGGAGGTCAGAGTTTGGCAGAATATGACGCGCTGCTTCTGCTTTGGAGACTTCAGCTGCTGGACTGACAAGTTTTAAAAAACTGCGCTAGACAAGCCCAACCAGAGACCACAGCCCAGCCCAGCCCAGCCCAGCCCAGCACAGCACAGCACAGCACAAACACCACACTACACCGCACAACATTACACAACACCACGCGACGCCATCCCACCCATCGCACCTCACTCCACTGCATACCACACTATACACAGAGCCACACTACAAAAGGAGGTCACCCAAACTTCCACCTTGCACCAAAATTGCTTAGCATTGAAAAGGAGGTCGGCAATCGATGTGGTTACCTCATCCAAAGGCACAGTTCCATCTAGACTCCATGGCCCGAGCGGAGGAATGGCCAGGACTGCCGTTACACACGTGGTAGCAAGGTAGACCTGGATGATCTCGCTTCTTCAATTCGGTTGCAAATCATGTCCGGACAATGCCGGGATATGCCACAAGCAGGCCCAACCTTGGATGCCATGTTGAGAGTCCATAGCATTGCGGGGAGGGGGGAGGGAGGGGGGAGGGAGGGAGGGAGGGAGGGAGGAAGGGAGGGAGAAAGGCAGGAAGGGAGGGAGGGAGGGAGGAAGGGAGGGAGAAAGGCAGGAAGGGAGGAAGGGAGGGAGGGAGGGAGGAAGGGAGGGAGGGAGGGAGGGAGGAAGGGAGGAAGGGAGGGAGGGAGAAAGGGAGGAAGGGAGGAAGGGAGGGAGGGACCCAGCCGAAATCCAGACGTAATGAACAAACATGCGTGCTTTTTGGGCAGCTCGTTTTGAAATTGGGCATTTGCCCTCCAGGACCCGCCGGCCGCAGAGCCTCAAGGTGGGGTCTCGGGCGAAGCGCCTGGCCTTTTGCCAGATGTCCGTATCAGCAATGCAACTTAAATTAAATTTTGTTTGGCAGCTGCTGGGTGCAGGACTTCCTTTCAAGGTGAGCCCCTCAGAAGATCATGAAGTGCTTTGTGCGTGGCTGGTTGGGTAGGACCAGAAAGCTTTCATATGCTTGGAGCCGGCTGAAGCCTGGGTTCAACATCCCCTGCAGCTTCAGCTCTGAATTCTTTCGGGTTCGGCCATGGATGCCTCTGAGTGATTTTGCCATGTTTCACGCAGTTTTCCAACGTGTCTCTTTCCGTAAATCGCAACCGGGCGCTCACTTCCCTTGGGCCAGGGTTTCAGAAAACACCAGGCGCTGCTGCTGTCGCGGCTGCGGGACCCAAAGGCCTCGGAGAAGGAGCGGTCTTCCGGAAACGCCTCGCCCATGCCCAAGTTTGTCCAACTGGTTGAGGGCTCATAGGACACCTCGAATAAATCATACTTCTGCGCACAGCGATTTGTTAGAACACAAGAGAAGCCCACAATGCCGCGCAGCTACAAATCTGCTCTGAACGGCCATGACTCAGGGCCTTGGAGCCTTGCCCTCTTGCAAATCGCTGTTTTGCAGGTTAATCTGCAATTGCATATTCCGATTGAGGCCAGCCACAAATTGCACCTGCACCTGTGCGGGAATCTGTTCTGAGCGCAGGCTAGGCACTATGCGCAGCTTTGCTGGCGTGTTGGGAAGCTGCGCGGAAATGAGAGGCTTACACAAACATTAATAGGCATATGGTTATTTGCTTTGCAGGTGCTGCGCTAGTCCCGGCGCAGGAGCTGTGCTCGGCCCTTGCAAAGCTCCAGCAGAAACAATGGCTCACAGGCGCCCGAAGTGCGTTTGTCGTGCACAGGCACCAGGCGCGCCTTTGCTATCGGAAGCCCGGTTTGTGGCGGGTTAGCCCTCTGTTTCCCTTGATAGACGTCAGAAGAAAAAGCTGAGCCCCACGAGCCTCAGGCGCCAAGGAGCCGCGCGCGCGCGGGACACGGGCAGAACTGAAGGGGCCGCAGTCGTGAGTGAGCAGCGCCCAAAACCCGCACTGACCATTTTTGAAGGGTAACCCGCTGAACCAAGGCCATCACATGTCTCTCACCAAAAGCTGTGAGAGACACTGTTTCACTTTTGGGATCGGGGTCACTCTTTCGCTTGCGAATGTGTGGAGTAGGTGATTCTACTACCTGATTGACTTGGGTTTATAGTAAGGCCTATATAAAACAAATATGACCATGTTGATAGAAGCAAATGTCAATGGGCTTTGGATGCAAGTCACCGTGGCTACTTGTGGCTTCAGCTTGTTCTGCCCGCAAGGAGTATGCCATTGCTGCAGGCAGCCTGGGGCGGCGCTCGTTCTGGCTTCAGGCCGCACCAGCTTTGCGGGAGTGTGGGTTTGGCGAGGCCTTTGAAACTGGTGGTCCAGTTCCATCCATGCAGTTCTTGGAGAAGGCTTAGTAGAGCAGACACGAGCCACGGCTTCTTCCATTGAAGGATTGGTCGGATCTGTGGGAGCTAGCTTGAAGTCAATGATTGAGAGCAGGCTGGACTTTAGCGCAGCTGCCAGGCATTTGACCTGTGGGAGGAGATGCGGCGCTGGCCCTAAGGCGAGAGGTGGAGCCAAAGCCTGGCATATGGCAACCCCAGCGCACGCCCGCGCTTGCCGTTGAGCTCAAAGGTGAACA